TGTGTTTCTCTGAATAGCCAACATGTTTTCCACTTGTTTGTGTTGGTGCAGGTGTTTTCAAATGTATTTAAACCCCCCCATTAGGAGTCACAGCTGGTGTGTGTGTGTGTGTGTGTGTGTGTGTGTGTGTGTGAGACTTTAGTTCAGGGGGCTCATTCTTCTCTCTGGCATTTATTACAGAACATTCAGTGTCAATTGATGAGCTCCCTGGAGTCGATGGGTTTATGGGGGGATGGGGGGGTGGGGGGGGTTGTTTTGGCTGCCGGACCCCGGAGCTGTTTATTTCTCCCCACTCGTCACCTGAAGCCGCGAGAGAAAGCAATAAAGGAACGAGGGGAGGAAGGGGGGGGCGGGGGGGAGTCACCATGTTTGTTTCGTCTATTCTAGATTTCGATTTATATTCTGTGCAAACTGTCAAATGGACAACCGGACTTAGTGGGACGAGGTCTTTAGGCCTGTGAGGACGGACCCCTGTAGGCCTCTCTCAGCCCGGGGGGCAGAAATGTCCCGGAATTGATAAGTAAGGAAAAGGGTCATGTGTCCTGTGAGCAGCAGCAGGCTCCTCCCTTTGTTTGGGGCCGGGTGGGATTCCACCGGGTGGTCCCGAGGGACTGAACCCAGCGAGAAGCTCTTTGATCGCACAACCGCACCGAAAAACAGCTGTGACGTTTGAGCTGTTTGCGCGGCTTCGTCAGCGGCTCCGCTGCTGTACCCCCCTCCCCCCCCCCCCCTTTAAAAGCAAGTCCAATGGTCTTTCCTCAGTAGGTTTCTTCACTCCGGTGGTCCGGCGTTAATGCTGCTCATGCTCGTGGTTTAATGAGCCGGTAGACAATGAACAGGACAAATAGATGAAAACGGGGGAGAAGAAAAGAGCAAAGACAGGAGGGATAATGAGCATAAAAGACACAACGCGCGTGTTTTAATCATTCAAAAAATAGGATGTTCTTGCCTTTTTTTTATTCTTCGGTGCCTCATTCCTGATATTAATGGTCCCAGAGTATCAAGTGGATCATCATTATTATTATTATCAGCATATCTTTCATTATTACGTCTGTCCTGAGGCCACGTAATGATCCATACATACATGATGTGGCACGTTGGAGGGGGGGGCAGCCTGATCTCCAAAACCTGTTCGTAAAAATGCATACGAAAATCTTGAACATACAAATTTCGTAGTTATACATACGAAATGACGTCTCCCTGTTCACAGTGAACGGGGACCTGCGCCCCGTAAACACACTTCCTGAAGTCTAACCATGTAAAATAAACGTGTTATGATTGCGTTTTTAACGAGAAATCAGTGTTAACTTGTAAGAACAGAATACTAACCCTGACCCCCTCAAAACATCCAACATGGCGGAGAGACGTTCACTCAGGAATCCGACGTGGTCCGCCATGTTGTTCACTCAGGGGGCGTGGCTAACCGCCGCCAGCTCCTGTGTGTTGTTACCAATTTGTATGATTTTGGGGATCACGCTGGGGGAGGACGAGTCGGCAGCGCCGGTGATCCCTGATCGGCTCGGATCGAGAGGAATCCACGTAATCGTATTTCCCACCTTCCGTGTGCGTAAACCAGGGAATGTGAGCCGCGCGTCCACACGCTGTGAAGTATGCAAACGCATCTGACCCCGAGTTGACCGTCGCTATCGGCTGTGTATCGCTAACAAGGCCAGTCGGCCCGTTATCTCCCCCCCCCCTCTGCCCTGTCGGTGTGAATACAAATGCAGAGCTTTGATATTCTGCTGATGGCCCCGGCTGCAAAGTGGCTCTGATGATGAAAGCGCCTCGTCCCGTCTTTCTGATTCCTGCCGCAAGCAAAGCATTTATTACTGATTTTATCAAACACTGTAAAATATGCATAATGCCTCCGCGTGTTTCCGCAGCTTTTCAAAATGAGAACACTTCACTTGTTCCGTGTCGGGGGCCGAAACAATAATCTCATCTGAAATCAATTTTCACAGCTGATATCAAATCTCGACTCCGTCTGGAAGCTCCTAAAAACTTAAATTACAAAGTGTCGCCTTTTGATATGAAATATGAATTTGTATAAATGTATGCTAAAGAACGTGCGGCGCCGCGCGTTGGAAGCCCGTCACGTTGCCGCCATCGAGGGGTTAACGTTGGATCCCCTCGTTGGGACCGCTCAGCCTCGACGGCGGCGCGCCACTGACTCAACGCCGGAAATCGGTGGTTGGTGCGTGAGGCCATCAGTCCTCGTCTTCATGAGTCCTGTAGGTCACAGAAGGTGGCGTCTGCGTGGACGAATCCCGCGAACGCTCCAATCAGCCAGCGAGAACGATCGGGTCGAATGGACAAACGGTCCTCGTGGTTCTGTGCGTTTACCGTCTCTCAGAGCGGAGACATTTAACCGCGATGTGGTCGTTGCTTCCACCCGCAGAGCCAGAGCTGCTCCTCTTCACCTTCATCTCCTCCCGACCCGACTGATCCCGCTCGGTTCTGCTCGGCGCGGCTGGAATTCGCACAGGAGGCCGGTTGTTGTTGTCATTGATTTTGGGGCTGAGAAGCCTTTTTCTCCGCCCGGTCGGGCGCTCGTTTCGTACCCGTGATGTGCGGCGGTCTCCCATTGAGCCTGATCGATGGTTTGAAGTCCTCCTCGGGGCCTTTTAGGGGAATCCTACATCAGGCTTTGTCATGAGGAGTGAGATCAATAACCTCTTTTAAACTTCTTTTAATCCGTCACCAATGTTTTTGATGACTTCATGTCATCTTCCTGCTGCACAGCAGATCAGGAAGCTTTTGGAGTCTGAGGACGATACGAATAAATATATAAAAAAGCGATCTTCTCGCTGATGGTCTCGATGGGTCATAGAGAGTCACGAGTATCACATCTGGACTTTTCATGATGGGAAAGGGTTGATGGATGAACGGCATACAGCCAATGAGCGATGGTGGGCGGGGCTTCTCCCTCCTTTCTGATTGAGTGACACGACGGTGTCCAATGGGTTCCTCACGCTCTTCACGTATAAAGAGATAACAGTCAATAGCTGCTCTCATCACATTTGATGGATGAATTTTGTTGCTTTTTGGGTCTTTTTGCTACGTTTACAGTCAATTCACAATGTTAACTGTGTGTTTGAAACTCTTAAAAACTCTTTCTATCTGCGACTGTCAGTAGTTGAGTGATAATGTTCTTTCTCAGGGTAACGGACTTGATCCCTATATGATCAGTACGTGAACGCAACCTTTTCCTTTGTCACGCGTCTCTTGTCAGGACTCTTGTGAAGCCCCTCCAGCCGGGACGCCGATTCACACAGACGATATAAGATACAACACTCTTAAATTGTGATTGTTTAGTTCAGAAACGATTCAGAAAAGCTTTTAATTATCTCAATAATCCCATTATTAAATATGATTACGTGAAGTTTCATATATTCATGCGAATATGAGACGCGGGAGGATCACCGTGGTTTTTCACCCGATGCATGATGTTTTATTCATTGGTAAAAAGATAGATCCCCTTTCCTGGTACACACATTTGATGTAGGACGCTTCAGCTTTTCAATTGAATTTGAGATGAGGAGTCACAGCGACATAAAACGCACGTCTGTCCTGTGTGTCCTCGGTCCGCATGCAGCCAAACCAACCACTCAGCCCTCTTTCCTTTCAGGGCTGGATGGTCTTTTTTACTCCCAGAAGCAACTAGAGATTCAATCAGTGATTAGAAGCATCATGGCTGCTGCCGGACCCCACGGAGGAAGTGACGATTCAGCTTTCCTTTGACCCGTCCGACCCACAACTCACTGTACGCCTTCACTCTGTCCGTTTAAAAGAGCATAATGCGTGTTGGGCGGAGCACCAGCCGCCGGGTTCTCCGTCAACTTGATGTTTGTCTTTAACTTCACCGCCGAATGCACAAAGGTTGTACGTTTTTGTCGAGGAAGGAGGGAAGAGACGAAAGGAGAAAAATAGAATTAAAAGGAGAAGAGAAAGAATGAAAAGAAGGGAGTGAAGAACATCTGGAAGAAAGGAAAGAGGGAAGAAAACACAATAGTAAAAAGGCTAAATGTGCTTCCATTGAGGAAAATGATGATGTACTACAAGAGAAGAACAGACAGAACCGAAGAAAACCGAAAATGTCCAACGTGAAAGAGAAAAGACAAGCGTTGATCTGCTGATCGGAGCGAGTAATGAAACACGTGAACGTTGCATTATCTTCTGAGGAATCCCTCTGGCTGCTTCAATGCAATCGGCCGGAACATGTTCGATATTGATGGAAGACGAGAGCGCTGCAGCAGAGGTGAAGGGGTCACGAGATGAACAGCCCTCCTGTGGAGAGGAGCGTACGAGGCTCCATTCGTCCACCAGGCCCGTGATCCTCTTTACTCTCATTTCCCCAAACGGCCGATGATACGAGGAAGTCAGAACAGGCCTAAGCAGGCGTTCACAGACCAAACAGGAAAAGGAAAAGACTGTGAGGTCAATATTGCTTTTCTTCAGCACTTCTCTGAAAGCTCTTTGGATGTGTTGTCATTTGAAAAGTCTGCAGGAGCTTTAACAATTAGACAAAAGCTTTGTTCCTTGTTGACAACATCATATTAGTGATTTCATGGAATGCTGAGGAGTGACGTCAATACTCTGTATAGGACCGTGGCAGAGGCACAGACCTGTCAATCAGTGGTAGCCCCGCCCTAAAGCATCCCTTACTGTGTCTGTTTGACTCTTAATGGAACAGAACTTCCAGTTCAAGCGCTTGTTGGGTTCTCTGGCTCCAACAGGAGAACTTGTTTTGGTTGCCGGTGGAACCTTTCATGTAGGTACCCCTGGAGACCTTTCAGAAGGTTCCATCAAGAACTCAGACTGAAGGGGTTTTAGCACAATCTGCGTTCCACCTAGAATACTCTGTCTGTGGGGCAAACAGGACCCTGGGAAGGTTTCTCCACGGACCCCTTAGCCAAGAAACCTTGACTTCCTCTTCTTGGGTCGTGACAGTGTTGCATCAGGAGGCGCGTTTAATCTGTTTTGGTTCCGTGTCTCCTCAGGTGGAATCTGCATCGCTCAGTCGCTGAAGATCCCCCACGACCACAAAGCCTCCAACTTCGACAAAATCATCCGTCTGCTGCTGGACACTCGGTACGCCAGGGCGGTGATCCTGTTCGCCTCCGACGAGGACATCCGGTAAATAACAACCATGATAATAATACTAAACACTGGTAGAACCAGAGGGGTACAGGTTGATTAAACTGTTTACTTTAACAGCAGAGAACATCTGCCCTCACATGGGTATCTTACCGGGACATGTGGTGTTACTATTAATAACAAGGGGTCAGTGGAACCCCTTCGATCGCCCGGTGACCGTGTGCTTGTGTTTGGATCCAGGGGGATCCTGAACGCCAGTAAGCGGGCCGACCAGATCGGTCACTTCCTGTGGATCGGCTCCGACAGCTGGGGGGCCAAGAACAGCCCCATCCACCAGCTGGAGGACGCCGCCGTGGGAGCCGTCACCATCCTGCCCAAGAGAGCCACCATCAGCGGTCAGTCTCCGGCCGGCCGGCCGGTCGCCGTGTGGAACATTCACACCTCACCTCCCGCGACGTCTTTGATGACGATCATATTTCATACGTCATTATTAGATCCATTGCTTTTTTACTCCACCCCTCCCTCCTCGGTGCTCATCAGAGCCTTTAGCTTCGGTCAATGTGGTTCCCTGTTTGAAACCACTCTCATGAGCCACAGCCAGTTAGCATAGAGACTGTGAACGGGTGGGGGGGCAAATCCTTGTACCGGCTCCTCTCACACCCACAGGCTGATGGCTGATGGCTGCGTGATCCCTTCTGCCCCCTCGGATTGGACAAACCATTTAAGGAAAGGGCCATTTCTCTTGCCATGGCGCCGATGGTAGAGATCACTGGGTCGGTCGGGGTAACTCGGGTATAATGGGGGGGTGGAGGCTGCTGATCTCTGCCCCTCTCTGAACAAGCTGGCTGTGCTGGAATATGAGCGGATTTTGTGATAATTAGATTAAACCGAGTCGAATGTGTCAACATGCCCCACGTCATGACGTCTTAATTAGAACTGGATTCTGACACTACGACCTTTTCTTATCTTGCAGCACATTTCCTTTCATTGCCTTTACTTTAGGGCCAAAGGCGCAGGTTGTAAAAGTTATTTCTCTAAAATAATTTTCCGTCTTCAGACATTTGAGAGTGATCATAATTTCTCCCAAAGCCATATTCACACCCGCTAACTCCTCGTGAAGCTCAGGGAGACAAATACACTGTTTCACTGGAGGTGTGTGTCACTGTTTGCACGTGATCAGCACCGATCGCACTGATCACGGAGGCAAGTGACACGTGTGGCTGCTCCTGATTCCTGTTAATGATCCGTTTTCATGTGAGAACGCGATACAGGATCAGTGCACTGATGTAGCAGTCGACATCTAAGACATTATTAAAGGAAGTTAGTTTTGACCATCAAAGCATCATAATAATAAATAAATATATCCCTGTGTTCCTCAGAAATTCCATTCACTAAAGGCCTTTTTTGTTCCAGTGCAATCGGTTTCGACACATCCGACTGTGGCAAAGACAATAAAGATTCTCTCTCATCATCTTTATGGTAGATCCTGCTACATCTTAGCATGCGCTACACCTTGTACGCTAAGCTCTGACACGTCCCGATATCACAGCCGCGACCGGCTGTCAGCCTGTAACGTGGATACAAGAGCCTGCAGCGGGCGGATGATCCCTGCAGGCTCCTCAGCTTCTTCTGCGCTGGTCGTCAGGGCGATGTCACACACGGGTCACAGGTCACGCGTTCCCTCCCATCGCCGCGTCACACCTCTGGAGGTACGGACGATTCGTGTTTGTCACCCGAAGGCGAATCCCAGCCGCCTGCCCGAACGCGGCGGAGATGGGAAATTGGAGGATGGAAGTCTGAGGATAAGAAATCAAGCGGGCGAACTGAGGGAAGAAAAGAGAGCGTCCATCAACGGGGAGGAGGCGAGATGAGGAGGAGGACGGAGGAAGGCTGAACTCTCCTCGTCGGCCTCCAGCTGAGAGCTTCTGATGCACCAGCGTCTCTCTGTTATCAGGCTGCTGTAGGATGAAAACAGACGTAAATAAATCGTTCACTGCGTCACCGTTTCCCCGAGAATAAAGAGTTAAGCGTGTTACGCTCTCGCACCACCTCACCGTGACATCAAATTAAAAGCAACGCAGTCTCATAATAGACATTTTAAACACACTAAGCTTCTTCAGCGTACCAAAACTCCAGCAGAGTCTTATATATTATTAGTTATTACATTATAAGTCAAATCAAGTCAAGTCCACTCTCCCTGTTTTCAGTCAAGAGGACCAGAGAGGTTAGCGAGGATGGATGCAGACGCCTCCACGTCCCCCCCCCCCCGTCTCCACCCACTCCTCTCCATGGTCTTTGTGAGGAAGCTGGTGGGTTCAGCGTGAGCATGTGCACGGTACAGATAGCAGCATGTGGACTTTAATCTTGCTCCGTGTGCTTAGAACATGATCCGTGTCCGCCAAGACGGATGTCCTCCTGCGCACATCAGCGCCGACAAACAGGAAGCGGCTGCGTTAGCACAGAGGAAATGCTAATTCTTCACATCACGCATTAAGAGAGGCGACGTGCGACGCCTACAGGCTCGAGGGCGGGAAAAAAGAGGTTAAAATTATTACATTTAGACATTTCTTTAGAATCATTTTCTCTTCTCTAAGATATTGCAGTGAAAAAATATTATTTATCCAGTCAAAAGATTAAATTACGTGCAATAATCTCCCGCAGCTGCCACAAAGGAGACGCAGAATGAACCAACGGAAGATGAAGAGATCCGGCTGCCTCTCAAACATTAACCGATGAAACACGTTTATTATTGCAGCAGTGATGCTCTACGCCTTATGATGCCTTATGATCACGACTATGTTCCACTGGTCTGTGAGCATCTTCCACATCAACAGCTAATCTCCAGCTTCGTCTGTTTGCTGAACTGTAGTTTAGAAAGAGACGATCGTCGAGGTTAAATGAACTACTGAGGTTCCTTCGAGAAGGAAGTGACGTGATGAATAAATCGGAGTCGGCTGAAGGCGGTTTGTTGACTTTGATCCGTCCGTCTCAAAGGGGTTTTTGCGCTCTTTCACATGTAGGATCATGAAGATCAGATAGAAAGTGTACAAACTAGAGCCCATTAACTTCCACAGACAAACTCTCTGATTACTGGTTTATAGAAGTTAATAAAATATGTTGTTCAAAGGTTCCCAAAGTCCTTGAAAAGTCTTCAAAGGTCTCATTCGATCAGCAGAGCAAATCCCCCAAACAGCTCCAAAGAGAACAAGCTGGACAACATGCGGGGCCCTATGGGGGCCTATGGGGGCCCCGGGGGTATCTATGGGGGCCTCCATGTGTGTCCCCTCTATGGGTAATTAGAGGCGTGTCTCTCTTTGTGCTCCTCAATAAGTGTGTTTGCCGTTTATTCTTGAGGGTTTTCTCAGAATAACTCAACCTTTAACCCTCATCATTTGTAAAACAGAGAAGCCCCAATGTGTCACTGGTGCCGTCATACTGCGATCCGATTGGTTTAGGGTTGGAGAACGTTCCTCAGAAAAGGAAATGAAGTTGGTGCGTCACGTTTGTTTGGATTGTGAACATTTGTAAAGACTTTGTGGAGCGAGTGCAGCAGCAGCAGCAGCAGCAGAGCTGCTCTCGCTGTGACAAACGCACCTCTTAGCCCCCCCACCTCCGCCCATCGCTTCGCCCCCCCGGGGAGCTGAACCAGGAACCCTGCAGCACCCGCCACAGCATGAAGACAGCGCGTGAACCTCCCACACTCTGGAGGCTCATTATGCAGCCCGGGGAACGTACGCTTCTCTAAATAGACCCTAAAGAACCAGCCGCGCTACATTTAAAGAGTCGATACAGAAGGAACTCGCAGGCGTCGTCAGGCGCCCGGTGATGAACCCGCTGTGAGAGCCCTTAACGGCGTCCCGGTGGGGTCACGTGACCCCGGCTCCTTAGTGGTGCCAAAGCACCAGCCTGTTGTATGCGGGCAGATCGCTGAATAAGGGATAAAAAATGCCAATTCATTACTCATAAAACGCGACATACGGTGGCCCACCCCCGGCCCCCCGGCCCCCCGGACCGACTCTTCGCTCCAGTCCTTCTCTCTCATTCAGTTGAAAAGCCCTCGACGGCCTCTCACTCACACCCTCACCAGGAGTACAGGGCCCAGCCGGTGCTTACCGATGATTACAGCAACACCCTTCAATGAGCAAAATGGGCCTTTGCAAAGATTTTCTGTCAGATGCATTATGATGTTAACGCCCCCCCCCCCCTTACAACAGCACTCTGCATCAACACCCGGATGCAGACGCCTGAGTGGCTGAGAGGCCGTTTGGTGGCTTTTAGACTCGACGGATGACTGAAGGTTCAGAATAAAACACATTTAATTTTGGGAAAAATGGATTTTAAACACTGCAACACTCAAAAAGTGAATCTTTTAATGTTATTGAGGGGTTGATGCAAAAATATGAATCTCAGACATTAACTGTGTGGGTGGAAGCCTGAAGTTCATTCATTTATCTGTTATATTATCCATTTGTCACATCTGTCCTCAGCTAGTTTGTTAAAACCAAATTATGTTCTCACCGCTATCGACACGCCGCCGCTTTTATTTAACCCTCTATGAGGGATTACGCTTTAGCTGGATGATTTTTACAGGAAGAAGGTGTCAGAAGGTCAGGATGAGGGACAGGAAGAAGGTCTCAGAAGCTCAGAAGGTCAGGATGAGGGACAGGAAGAAGGTGTCAGAAGGTCAGGATGAGGGACAGGAAGAAGGTGTCAGAAGGTCAGGATGAGGGACAGGAAGAAGGTCTCAGAAGCTCAGAAGGTCAGGATGAGGGACAGGAAGAAGGTGTCAGAAGCTCAGAAGGTCAGGATGAGGGACAGGAAGAAGGTGTCAGAAGGTCAGGATGAGGGACAGGAAGAAGGTGTCAGAAGATCAGGATGAGGGACAGGAAGAAGGTGTCAGAAGCTCAGAAGGTCAGGATGAGGGACAGGAAGAAGGTGTCAGAAGGTCAGGATGAGGGACAGGAAGAAGGTGTCAGAAGGTCAGGATGAGGGACAGGAAGAAGGTGTCAGAAGCTCAGAAGGTCAGGATGAGGGACAGGAAGAAGGTCAGGGCTGCTTGAACTCTCTTGGCCTTGTTGGCCCCTCCCTCTGGACTGGAGGTGGGCCGGCCCCGGTTCGGATGTTACCTGGTACCCGGCTTCACGCTCTCAGACAGTCGTTTGTTATTCATGATCGTTTCCATAATGACATTCAGGTCCATCCAATAAAAGGAAGCTGAAACTATCAGAACAGCATTTTTCACCTTTAATCCTCAGTAGCTGTTAAGTTTCCACTTTCCAAAGGTTTTCTTTCCCTTTTGTTCCTTAGTTCCTCTGTGTGGAGGTCTGTAGTTTCTCTCTACGTGAAGTGAAAACGTAACGGACAGAACGCGACCCTGAACGTGTCCGCATCGACCCACCGGGTCACCGCGCCCGGCCTCTTCCTGTCAAACATTCCCCCTGAAAACAACAACAACATGTTCTTCTGACCGGATGTGAAGCACCGACACGAGTGGAAGCCGTTAACGTGTTTGTGTGCAGCGTTTATTCCATCAATGCACACAAGTATCAGCTGATTATTGGACATCAGAGACGATCGGTCTTATTCTGACCTAATGAATCCAGCAAGTGGATGCATTCAATTCTAATTAAATAATAATATCACAATAATAACAATTTGAACAAAAAATTATATAATGATGATTTGTAATAAAAGTACTTCTACTAATTATAATGATATAGAGTAATAAAATAAGGACAATGATCTTCCATGTAATCAAAATTCCAAAAATAATATTATATTAGTAATAGATTTAATTATTAATAAAAAAATACTGGCAATAATAAAACGAGGCAACACATGAATCTGTATCTTTGAATAGTACAGTAATAGTTACTCTGCTACAAACCCAGACGTGGTCATTTTACTCATCGGCGGATTCTTGAATGGATTCAGTTCAAACACCAGGTTTGGCCCTTCAGGGGACGTCCCCGTGCAATTACTGTTGAATCCCCAATTTTTGAGAAGTCTGCTCGGCGTTCTGTTGCTCTAATGCTCCGGTAATAACTCTAATTACAACGACGTTTCTCATTTAGTTTTTCTTTCAAGCTGCGACAAGATGCCGAAGGAACAATGTGCCCTTCAGTCAGACGGTTTAATGTCCGATTCATTCGAGAGAGAGAGAACCGGCCGCGGGGCCGACGCGTGGAGATTAATTGCATATCACTTCTAACGGTTGTTACAGTACGATGAATTAAGGAGGGGAAATCACTGCAATGGTTTTGACCTCCTGCTTTAACCCTTTAGCTGCCTGCTCTGCTCGACGTCATGGAAATGACCACTCGGTAAAGAAACACTGGATGTCACTCTGTCTTTAAGGAGACCGTGTTTGTTAAATAGACCAAATATCTGAACTGTCAAGTGTTTCTAACAAATGAGGCTATTCGTTACTCTTTTACGTGTATGTAAATGTATGTATATTTTGGTATTTTTGCAAATAAGTGACATCCCAACCCTTTGGTGGAGGCCGGTTATTAACTGTGTGGTCTTGATTGTTATTCTCATGCAGAAGAAGAAGAAGAAACGTTTCTCAATTTGCAAAATTAAATCAAAGACGGACCTCGTCAGTCAAAGTACCCGTGAGACGCATTCCATCTCTGCTGTCGCTGCCCCACTTTCTACCTCCCCGAACATCTTACACCGTTTGAGCCGGTTTACCTGCGTGTCTCCTCCACGTTGGTCTCTGCTACATTCCTTCATGACGTCTGCAACCTGAAACCTTCCCTCAGCACTCCAATACATAACATAACATAGCGTACGTAATATCACCATCATCTAAGAGCACGTGCACTTTAATAATAGCTCATCTTAAATCATCGCAGTTCTTCACATTTTAACCACGAGCTTGAAAACCAGCTTTTATGATCCAAAATCTTCATCCTTTTGCTCATTCACTAAATCCACCAAGGACGGCTTAGCGACCTCCCCCCAGGTTTTAACTTCACATGGTGGCAGGATGTCATGTGCACTGTAATTAAATGACTATGAATTGTGTTTGATTCCATGCAAAGGTAATAACACATCTAATAACACAAACTAATATTCCACCACTAAACATCATCACAGGTGTCATCATTTCTACCACTAGGTGTGCTCTCCTGCTTAAATCCTTGACGTCCTCCTGCAGGAAGCGTGCGATGCGCGCCGCTGATGCTGAGCTGGCGAGCACGTTACCGTGCACGCTCTAAACTTCTGCTAGAGCAGAGTGCATGTGAGCAGAGTGCATGTGAGCAGAGTGCATGTGTGCAGAGTACATGTGAGCAGAGTGCATGTGAGCAGAGTGCATGTGAGCAGAGTGCATGTGAGCAGAGTGCATGTGAGCAGAGTGCATGTGTCCTTGGGCCAGACACTTAACCCAGCATGGCTCCTGAGGCTGTGACGGCAGTGAGTGGATGATGGCAGGGGACTCTGTGTGTGGTAGTGATGTCATCGGGGTGTGAACGGGTGAATGATGTCATGTAGTGTTAACGCGCTTTGAGTCGGAAGACCTTTATTTTGACTGTCTTCTCTCCTCGGCGTGTTTCTAACCTCCGTCAGCTCTCCGTTTAATGGTGACGTGGAGCTTTGGTTCAGAAACCGTTCACAATGAGAGGCGCGTCGAGCAGAGAGCGCCTCTTTAACACTTACCGGTGGGACGTGATTGAGATCTGACTGTCACTCAACTTCCTGTTCTGATCCGAGTGGTGGAGGGCGGCGGACAGAGAAAGAGACGCTTTGTTTTAAATGTCATTCTTCTTCTTCTTCGGGCTGAAGTGGTTTAGAACTGTAGGACGTGGAGGAGATTCAGAGTCCTTCATGATCGGGCCGAAGCTTCTGCTGCTACTAAATTTATGAAATGGTCACAACGGTCGCGTCACAAAACCGTCCACATGATGAGAAACATGTTTCTTATTCATTTAGAGACGATATTGAGCTCGTATCTTGATTAGTATTTCATTCTTGCTTTATTTCTGTCTGTCACTTCCATAATGTGTCGTGTGATGGTTCCTAAATCCTTTTGTCTGACACCGTGTATTCAACCTCCCCGGGTTTAAGGTAGTTCCTCATCCAGCTTGATCCTCCATAAGTCACCTGCTCTGGATTCACGTGAAGCACGTTGAGTCGCCCTGTTGCCTTCGGAAGGTGTTGCTGACCTCGGGGTGTTTTCCTTCTTTCAGGGTTCGACGCGTACTTCACGTCGCGCACGCTGGAGAACAACCGGAGGAACGTGTGGTTCGCCGAGTACTGGGAGGAGAACTTCAACTGCAAGCTGATGAGCTCCTCCAAGAAGGACGAGAGCAGCAGGAAGTGCACCGGTGGGTTCCGTCTCCAGCCGCACGGAGCTCCGTAGCCTTTTCTTTCTGTTATAGAAAGCACAATAAGACGTTTAATCTGCTAGAGACCAGATTAGATTTAAAATAAATGCAGGAAATATCGTTACTGTGTTATTACTGCAGGCGTCGCCTGACAGCCGGCTGAACTTCAGAATAAATAGTGGAGCTGATGAGAGGCTGCAATATGAAGGGGCAAAGCTTCTGCACAAACACGGTGGATTGGATTTGATTGGCATGGCGCTCGATGTTTGAAGCCTCAGGGTTACTCAGTTTCATTATGATTAAATAACGTACGATCATGCTTCATCTATATTGAGGGGAAGTTACTGAACGGCATTTGCGATACAAAGGGGGGCGAATGCAGAGCTACAAAACCTCAAACGACACTAAACTCTGTGCTGCAGCGTCACAGCGGCGTTCGTCGCACGCCGGCATGTGGCCTTCACTCCGAGGCGGGAAAAGTCCCGCCGGCGCCGGCAGCGTTACGCTGATGTGCATGATGACGTCATTTCCCGTTCGACGCCTCGCTGTTGATGTTGAGCTCTGGAAGTTCGTTTCGTCCTCACAGGTGGACAAATAGGAGGACACACGCGGACAGAGACACATGACACATGGGGTAGAGGACATCACATGGCGCGAGGGGTGATACTTCCTGCCTGTTGCTTCTGGGTTGTAGAACACGCGTCACCATGGAAACACTGTTTTGGACTTGTGACCCGTTCACGCTGAGAAATAAGAAGCATCTGCTGTGGTTAAATGGGAGGAACATCTGCTGCTGATTGGTTCTTTTTCTGCTGTCACTCAGGCGCCTCCCTAGTCAGATAATAACTATTATTAATAGTAGCTATTAGCGGCCCTCCCCCCGCCACCTCCACCTCTAGCGGCATTTTTTGGGAGCGTTTATTGACGGCTCTTACTCCTCGTCAGCGTTTATATGCGACTCAACACGAAAAGACAAAAACCAATAAGAAAGACACAAAACAGCGAGCGCGGCCTCGGCGCCGCCTTTTGATTTGTTTGTTTATTAATCTGTGCGGCGCTGCAGGCGTCTCCGTCCCAGCCGGTCTGATGGCGGTGAGCGTTCTGAGTGATGTCGAATTGATTCTGAATGCAGCTTGTTGGTTTTTTTGTCATCACATTCATTCCAGTTCAAAAATCCCCGATGAACGCAGCCTTCTAGTTTTGTTAAGAAAACGTTGGTGTTTGGCAGGTTACCCTTTGAGCATCACCACACAGTGCGAGCAGGTTGTTTCCTCCATATTGTGTGAGAAAAAAAGAAGTAGAATGAAAAAGATCACGTGCATATATGTATATAAATATATATCTATAGATATAGTGTATATATATAGTGTATATATATATCTATATCTATAGATATAGATATATATACACATATATTGTGCAGCCTTGATAGACGTGGCTTCATCTGCCTCCACATATCTGAGGGAAAATAATCTGTTAATATAACATAATTTACCAACAATGCACCAGTGCAAAGCGCCGTTTGCGGCGCTGATGAATTTGAATTGTCACAATTATTCAGCAAACCACGACTAACGCGGTTTAAGCCTCTGTTGGGCTTTGTGATTACTACTAATGGGGGAGCTTTGGCAACGCACGAACACCAGGAGTCTCGCTTTAATCGGCAGAGTTCTAGCAGAGTTTCTGCCGGTCGTTTGGCGACTACGAGGTGGAATCGTTTCACGTCCGTTCAAAGACCCCCAGAAACACAAATCTAGAGTCTGTCTTGGAAGGACAGAGCCTGGTTACAAGTTAAGAAAAGGTCTTTCTCTGAGGGTTTATAACACTCTGGAGGAAAGCAGGTTCCCTGTAAGCGGGCCGAGGTTAAACTGTGGCAACGTACATAATTCAGCTCACACGCAATTATTGAAGAAACGTATTGAGTCGTGAGAAGCGTCGCTTGACGAGATCCCAGCTGAAGCCGACGCGGAGCAACGCGATTGGCTGTTTTCTCCACTCGTGTTTTGCTGAGAGATGAATCCTCCCGAAGGCCACAGCGGGTTCGCGTGTCGGGTGTCGTGGACGAACGCGACCGTCTCCCTTCTGTCATTTTTCACCGCGGCGCTGTGAGATTAAAGGCCTCATCTCAGGTGAAGAAAACTAGACTCACGAGCCGACAGCGAGCGACGTGGAAATCGACTCGCGTCAGCAGCTGAATCTAGTTTTTCTTCCTGTTGGCGTCTTCGAGCCGCACCCTGCAGCTGCCGCCGTTTAAACGGCCGCACGATGTTTCCAGCAGTCTCGTGAAAACAAATACTAAGCGATTGTGCGACGAGCGACGTTCAGCCAAACTCCCATCAGCCCCCCGTCTCTGATTGTCTGCGTGTGATTGCATCGCTCCTCGTTATCATCAGGCAGCTCAATCAGCACCGACGCTTCTTTGCTTTTATTTCTATAACTTTCCTTTGGCTGAGATCTTCAGGGGCTCGAGCACAACCGGAGGATGTTCTCATGACGCTGTCGACGTTTTCTCACACGATGTACATTTCTGCTGAATGCTGCAGACGGTGAGCAGGATCACTGGGGCGCTGTTTCCACTCACCGATGAGACGGAACTCAGCGTGTGAATGATGCTTTGTTAAAGTGCGTTTAGTGGTTAAATTACAGGTAAAGCTGTCGGCGCCTCTAGAAGGTTCGACTTCTTTAGTCAGCAGATCGATTACTGATCACTGTCCTTCAAACAATACATACATCTAATATTTGCAACTTATAGTGAGTGTCCCTCCATCACACCAGCACAGACCACATGCCCAGTAATCACGAATAGAAGGACGTATAAGAGCTTTGTGTGACATACACAAGATTTCAAAATAAAAGCCATTGCTAAAGGTTAAACCAGTGGTCATTGATCCTTTAAATGTTATTCAATGTTAGGAAACGCAGAAAAGCCGCTTACGGGGATTTATTTTGGTGATTCGAGTTCATACGCGTGACAAAGTGCATCCGTCCTCTTTAGCTGACTGATGCTATCAGCCGTTAGCTCATTAACGCTAATGCAGCGAGTCAGCCATTCCACAAAAGCACTCGGCTGTTGTCTCCAAGTGCGCAGCCTCTGCATTCACGCAGAGCGGCTCGCGGCTCGATGCTCTGGTGACTCCACTCGCCGCGATATTTAGTACCTCAGATACATTTGGATGATTCAGATGAATACTTTTACTTCCACTCTGTCCACGAGTATTTTTACAGCGTAGCATTACTACTCTGAATGTTTCCTCCACCACTGCTTTAAACTAAATGACTGAACCTGGAGAGACCAACTTAACAATTAATTGGACCGGAAGCGTAAATTGACTGCGATCCACCCAGAGGGGAACTTGGGTGAAAGGTCGGTTTCAAAGTGTATCCCTGACGTCTCTGTGCCGTCCCTCCAGGTCAGGAGCGCATCAGCATCGACTCCAAGTACGAGCAGGAGGGCAAGGTCCAGTTCGTGATCGACGCCGTGTACGCCATGGCCCACGCCCTCCACAACATGCAGCGGGACCTGTGTCCGGAGAGCGCCGGCATCTGCCCCGACATGGACCTGGCCGGGGGGAAGAAGCTCCTCAAGTACATCCGCAGCGTCAGCTTCAACGGTGAGCGCCACGGGAAGTCCCTCCGAGGCACGCCAGGGAATGTGTGGGGATCGCCGCTAAATCCACCCAAGTAGCCGGACGACGGTTATAAAAGTGTCTCGCTCGTCTCGTAAAACTGCCTCCGTGTCGTGGCCCTTTTTTAGCTCCCTTCATAACGACGCTGGTTTTATTCTCACGTTTTAGTACATTGCTGCTGTTTGGTCTCACGATGCAACTTGTGTCTTGTACATAAAACCCGGCGGTGTATTTAGAGGCCGACCGATCGCAGGCTTCTACACGTACATGAACTTCTGTCCTCACTTAGTTATTTAAATGCTTTCAGATCAGATCATTAATAAAAGATGTTGTCATTGAATAAATGATGGATTGAGCGGCGAGGTCACATTCATAAGTGATTACTGATAGTGATGATCAGTGATTATTGTTCAATGACCTGGAGTGGTTCTACATTCGGATGCCGACTTGTTATCTTACTCACGCAAATTGTTTAATGTGGGATTTGTCATTTCAAGGTTGTGGTACTTTTATCTGGTGAAAACACATGAATGACTCTTTCTGTTACGTATTAGAGACACATGGGACTGAAACCAGGAGGCAAAACTGTATCTGTGACAGCAGCAGTTGAGCCTCTTTACCTCTTTTATGCAATGATTAAACTGATGAGGGATCAGTTAAACCACTCCAGCGGTTCCTATACAATCGCCTGTGCTGAAATATAGCGGCTTTAATGAGACAGACAGCTTAGAGCTCCCGTTATCACAGTCACAGACCCTCGAGGTTATTTACAGACTGTGAGGAGAGTAAAGATTACACCATGTGTCCCGGAGAGACAGATTACACCTCCTCTACATGAATCACTCACACCTCCGCCCTCGCAGGCGCTTTCAATGGGTCCCCAATGTTCGCGCGGGGCCATTTACGCCGAGCTTCTTCTCAGACCCGATATCTGTTCCATCACATGGGGACTCAGTGGCGTCCGCAATGCCTTCTGATGAGCGTGGAACCGGGCGTTAAGAGTGAAAAATACACATTTTGTCTAACTCATAGTTTGTCGCTTCAGTTTGGTTGTGTTCATGGATCGCTGCTAAGGACCTTAGGTTTTTTGTTAATCAAATACAACATCTATTTTTATAGCCCAAACTTACAAATCACCATCTGTGGAGAATACTGCATGTTCTGTCCGAGGACCTGGCATTGGAGGGGGGAAATAGGAGGAGACCTTCGGGAGAGATACATGTGTACAGAATGCAGAATGCATGGGACATAAATGATTCATATAATGAGAGCAGCGAGCAGAATAATGATGCAAAAATGACGACTACTCATGAAAACAGCAGCTGTGGATACAACAGAGTCTAGACCTTTAGCAGCGTATCCAACTGCTGGACTTAGCAGACCTGAACCGGCCCCAACTATTAACCTGAGCCAGACCTAACTATTAACCTGAGCCAGCCCAAACTATTAACCTGAGCCAGCCCTAACTATAAACCCGAGACGGCCCTAACTATTAACCTGAGCCAGCCCTAACTATAAACCTGAGCCAGCCCAAACTATTAACCTGAGCCAACTATCAGACTTCATCGAAAAAGTGTCTTAAGCCTGATCTTTAATGAGGAGAGTGTGTCTGCCTCCCGGATTGAAAATGACTGTGAACCCTTCCTACTTTCATTCATGGAGCGCAGCTCTCTGGTGGCTTTACAGGGTTCTGTGAGCTCCTGAAGAAATGATGGTGCCTGGCCAATTAGGACGTTCCAAGTAGGGAAAAAGAAGACTCTTCTCCTTCTCCTTCTTTATCTTTTCTTATCATATTTAAATCAGTATCTGTAGGTTTCAAAGTGTGCTGCCCTGTGTTGTTTTCTCAGGGGAAAAGAAAGAGTTTGTTGAATTTGGGTCACATTTATGCCGGAAGCTCCGAGCCTGTATGGCGTCCAGCTAATGCGCTGCAGCATACCTTACATGTGTAGCGTGTTGTGCGATTGTGCATGAGCAGACCGCTAACAGCCACCCATCAGCATCTCCTCCTTTCAATGTGGATGTTGTTAAATGTCGTTTTATATCAGCCGGTATGACTTTTGATTAACGTTATGAAATGATTTGTTGAGGTTAAGATGACGGTGACAACGATAGTGTGTACAAAAACAACATCAGTCCTCAGCAAATATAATTATGAATAACATAATGTTGACATAACAAGCGGGACAAAAGTACTGGAAAAAAACGTGAATCAACGTTACTTTAAACAATGTTACTTAAACAGCTCTAATTCAGGTGTTCAAGTTGTAAAGCCTCACCATGTGTATTACAAACAAACAAATGACATGTAAAGTATTAACTGTGTTGCACGATGAGGTAATACTGACTGAAGGCACGCAGTGTTTGTGACCAGGTGCTGTAAAGTGAGAAGATGTGAGATGATGAACTGCCTCGGTCTTTGAGGGGCGGTTGTTTTTTGCCCCGTGGCTCGCTGAGGTCACTCATTAAGATCCTCTCTTTCCCAAACACACTTTACTCTTTTGGAAATATGAAATATGCAGACGAAATGCAAATGAAAGGAGTTCTTAAATGAGTATTTTGTAGCCTGATGGTGTTGTGTTGTCGAGCTGAAGAACTGAGCGTTCATGCCAGCGTGTTTTTTCAACCCCGTAAAAGTCGGGAGACTTATTATCAGTGCGTCCTAATACAATGTGAAGGACGCATGAAGAACGAAGAGGAAGGTCTTTGATCGGCATAATTAACAGATGATAATTAACACGTGACGCAAGCAGCTTGATTCCACCTTTATGGTGGTGAAGATATCGCAGTGCTTCTCTTTGGATGACGTCTGCAGGGATGGAAAACGACTCATCTTCACCAAACCTTCTGTTGCTCAAAGAGAAGGAGGCTGAAGCGTTTGATTCACGCTGTAAAAAGGTTAATTGTTTGTAATCTGTGATAGATAATTATAGATATACCGCATATCATGTCTCTTTTAATTTACTAATCCGTTAACTGTGGCAAACATTAAATGATCAAATTAGGTTTAGTACTTTATTGGCCCTTTAAACCCTAATAATAATAAGTAGCACTAGTTAATATAAAATGAAATATGTTAAAGACAGTGTTATTACTATTTAGCCTCCTGTTGAAAATGTTACATTTTCCCTGTGATCTATTTGCAGTTTTACTTGTAGTATTCAGACCATCATTTGCATATTTTTGTAGTTGTAATGCACAGAGTCCTCCAGAGATCCCGCCCCCTTTATCAGCTAATTAGCAGTGTGCTAATATGAAATAAGTAGCAGTGGAACTGCTCACTCACCGTTTATTTGATTTTCAATAATTACACTAAAAGAACCTAAAGACGAGCTGCTCCTGTATGACTTTCTTTTTGAATTAAAAGATCGTATCATAATTAATAACAATGTATTTCAGTATTTCAGTCAGGTCTTAATCAATTAAGAATACTGTGCAAGAAAAGATATATAACAAATGAAACCGTCCATTTTGTTGTTGTTGTTGTTCTGTGTGTTGAGACAAACATGAGCCAAATATCGACTGAGAAACGAAACACATTTATACCAAGAGGTCGCTCTGTGTTGCCAGTGGTGCCTATTAACCCGAGTATTGATCTGAAGCAGTTGTCTGGTCACAGCGGGGATTAATGACGGAGCTCCTCTCTGGACCGAGAGTCCATCTCTTTGAGATCCCAGCTGTCAATCAACCGGCTGCGTCCGACACAAAGAGGCTGATTAAACGCAGTCACGTTTTTCATTAAACTCAACAAGATGAGCTGCAGACGGGGAGAGAGCACAAGCTCTTCTTTGAGACTCGTCTTCACGCCAATCTTCTCCTTCCTCCTCTTCTTCTGCTCTGTGTTCTCCTCCATCTTCTACTCCTTCTGTGTTCTCCTCCTCCTCCATCTTCTACTTCTTCTCCATCTCCCCCTTCTTTTTTATCTGCTTTTGATCGTCCTCCGTTTCTCCTCCTCTTGTTTATTCCACCTTCTTCTAATTCTTCTTCCCCTGTAAAGGAGAACTATTCAGAGGATTTGAACCTGCATCTATTCTTCGTCTACTTCTTCACATTCCAATCCTACGACTTTTCTTTCTTCTTTTCTTCCATCTTTTTATGAATCCAATGTTTATGGAAATTAACGCCAAAATCTGGATACAAGTGTTGTATCTGAATCTGGATACAAGTGTTGTATCTGAATCTGGATACAAGTGTTGTATCCAGATTTTATCTCCAAAACAGAGTCTCTGTCAGGATTCCTCCACTATTAAAGTATCTGCAGTCGATGGGACTCCATGAGGCCGTCCTCAGCCATCAGGTTCTCACTTATTGAGCAATGGGTGTTGGTAGAACCCAGATGCTGAGCTCTCTATGCGCGGACAGGAGGCCTCAGGAGAACATCAGCCCTCTTTGTGTCGAAGACGTAACGGAGGCTTGAGATCTTTGTGAAAGCAGCTTCTCCTCTCCTGACTCCACAAGGAAGCCACCTTCCCTCACATGTTCCTTTACCGGTTTCCACTTTACCCGACCGGAGTAGGAAACTACTTTGCTTTCATCCCCCTCCAGAAAGCACTGTGTCATCCTCTTCCTCTTCCTCGTCCTCCTCTGCAGCAGAGATGTTATCTGAGGGGAGAAGGAGGAGCAGGCTAGAAACCGGTCTGCTGCTCAGGGTTCACGTGGACCTGCGATCCACAGAATGGCTTCCGATCTGCGGCTGCGGATACGTGAGCTTCGGTCGGGGACATTCGGGGAATATTCAATGCGCTTTATTTCCGGAGACTGTGTGAAGTTTGTGTTCGCTGCTCTGCTGCTTCATCTCTTCCATCGCGGTGAGGAAACCCCCTTGAAGCAGCGAGCGGGCGAGCGGCCCGCCGAGCGCCTCCTGGAGCGAATCTTCTGTGTTTGCAGATCGAGGGTTTAAATCTATAAACACATGTCACACATTCACACACAGCATCCAGCTGAACCCCCCCCATCCCCTCGTGGATAAAAAGCCCCCCATTGTCCTTCCCTTCACCTCGCTTTACCACGAGCAGACCATAATAAGAACATTCCTCTTCTGAGACCTTTAAAGCGTGTGATGAAATCTGTTTTAGCAAACGGGGAAATGGACGGATAGAAACGAGAAGCTGCTTCTTTCTACTTCTGTCGGGAAAAGATGACCTTTTGAATTGAAATGATGTAGATCTTCACATTCTACACAGATGTTTCTATGCACATTCAAAAAGCAGAAGCAGACTTTCGGTCCAGACGTCGGCGCTCTCTTCAAAGCCACCACACTTTGAACAATGGAGACGCTGATCCTCCTTCTGTTAGTGTGCTGGTATTATTCTGTAATCCTCTCGACCGGAAAACTCTTGTTCTGTTTGGTCCAATTATTGTTTTTGTCAATGAATTTGAGGAAGTCAACAGCTTAAGTTCTGTCAGACAGCTACGATGGGCACAAACAGTGAGAAAAGTTTCCCTTCATGGACACATTCTCCTTCGTGTCACGTACGCTTCATAAATAACGTGTCAGGGTGAATCCTGGGATTTCTTCTTGCTGATCGTGTATTTTGTGACGCATAAATATGGTTTATGCCGCTGGCCGTGTAGGTCGGTGAATGCAAAGAGTTTACTTGCTCATTTATTCTGGTTGGGAAGTCGTCTTCCGTTGATGCAGATCCGTCCCACAGAACACGCGTGTTCTCGCGCACTCTGTCCCCTCCGACAGGAACAACGTGACGTGCAGCACGTTGGGAAAGATGCGTCTCGCTGGGAAAAACAGTTTGGAAAACGTTAAAGTAGTTTAAAGATCGAACTCGGGGTGAAATAAAGAGTGACGGTTGGAGAAAGAAGAAGCTGCTGAGGAGAGTTACTGAGAGAAAAACATATTAACGCAGAAGCTGCAGAGTTTCCTGCCAAAACCGTTATTATTGACCTGAGGAAAACTCTCTTTGTGTTTCATTTAGAAGAGAGGAAACCAGAAGGCTCCATCCGTCCTGTCAGCCCCTCCTTCTATTTGCCCCTATCTGCCTCCCGCCCCAAATGAAATACAGGCTTTAAAGAGGCCACACAGAAGAGAGGCGAGCCGAAGGCCTTTCAAGGGAACAGAGGGAGGAAGGGGGAGAGAGAGGGGGAGAGAGAGAGAGAGAGAGAGAGAGAAAGGGTCAATGAAACAACCCGTCCTGAGAGACCAGTTTCAAAAACAACCAGTCAGGTGTGTGTGTGTGTGTTTGTATATGTCTCATTGTGAGGACCTTCAGAGCGAGGACATTCTGGCTGGTCCTCACTTCTTCAAACACTTGGGTTCACACTGATTGAGTCTCCGGTTAGGATCAGGTCTTATTTTGGGTTAAGGTTCAGGTCACCAAGGTCCTCACAAAGATAGAAGTACGGGGATGTGTGTGTAGGAGAGGCAAACCGTAAGCAGAAAAGCTTTTTATTTACGTCCGTTTACCGTTTAATGACCCGTGGAGGGACACATCCGATTGATTCCATCCGGTGACTCAGTGGTTATTTTGTCCTCCACAGGAAGTGCCGGTACCTCAGTGACCTTCAACCGCAACGGCGACGCCCCCGGACGCTACGACCTGTTCCAGTACCAGTGGAACAACTTGACCGGGCCGGGCTACCGCGTCATCGGACAGTGGACCGAGACGCTGCTGCTCAACGTGAGTCTCAGGAGGAGGAGAAAGGTCTCGCCCTGCGTCTTATCGCTGTGGTGCCGGACGGGTCAAAGCAATGCTCACTTCTGCTTTTCCTTTCTTGTCAATTTGCCACAAAAAATCAAAATATATATATATATATATTGTACATTTCTGGCTGGCTTTACCGAACCTTCCTCCGTCTCTGTACAGTCACGAGGTTTCTCCTCCGTCAGTCCGTCCCCCTGACGAAGGTTTTGGAGGAACAAGAAGCTTCGCCCTCAATCGTCATTTGACATTTTGTTGTTTCTCTTTACGGAAACCATTTTGATATTCATTAAGAAAACTGTAATTTAACGTATTTATACTGTATACAGATCAGTGGAAATTAGGTGTCCTGCTCGACTGTAGTTTACATCATCCGTGGAGTAAAAGTGAATTACAATGACTATCATTAAAACGTGACGAGTAGGATGTTAGTGCTGTAACTGGTCCTCTTGTTAATCAGAAGGAGCAGTGACGTAGGTGGCTTAATGAAAAGTACATTCAGACAGTAGATTTGAACTGCTACGGTTTTAAAGGCAAACAGCAGAAATCCTGCCAGCAGAATTAAAAGATTTGCATCTGACTAAGTGAATAACGGCGTCCGGAGTTGTGACCACGCTGCGTTCGCTCTCCACTCTCATGTGTTTCCATGCGAGCCGAGCCGAGGACCAGCAGGAGGATTATCAGGCGCCGCATTTTCACAGTCCTCACAGTCTCCTAATTGGAGGACAGAGAGTCGGACGAGATTATCTGATAGTGTGAGAGGTTCACAAATGTATTAGTTTGATCCGACTCGGCCCAATGGAGCCAAAACGGACCACGGCACACAAACGTTTTCCACGGGGGAGAATGAATTGGAGTAAATGAAGGAATAGAAGTCAGTATTTGAGAATTCAGGAACGTCTGGGATTCGACGTTTTCTTGTACTCGGGTTCCATTGCTTCACTCATTGGAGGCCATTCGGGGTTTTTTTAGTTTGCAAAGATGCTTTTTGCTCCAAATCAAAGTGATGTTGCATAATGGACCAGAGTTTCCTTTAGTGACAGCTGCTGCTGTGCGTCTGATCCCAGAAAGTTCACTTACGCTGTGTTCAATCAGAGGAACCAATCTGCAAGATAACTGCATCCATATTATTGGATGTATGCTGCTGCGTACTGCACAGAAATCCTGCCCGCGGCGAAGTTAAAGCCCATTTAAACCACTGGTGCTTTGGTGCGACGGTCTACTGAGGATTAAATAACAGCCCTTTGTTATGAGTGAACCTGTTAAACTGTACATGCAACATCCAAGACAACCTCAACCTGCCTCTGCTTCCACATTTCACTGACTCATCGTCAGTAATAATAACTACCGGCACTGCTCTTACTTCTCATAATTCAATTGTAACTTGCTAATATGCCACTGGTCACTAACTCAGCCGCCTCCTGCGTACGGCTCTTATTTGCTTTAAGGCTCAGTTTCAACCTTTCACAATAAAAGTCCCTGACACACACGATCACTGCTGAATCCGTATTAATCCCCAAATTGCATGTAGATGTTTTTTATGGGTGACCAACAAAAAGGTAATAATGTAATCGTCCAAAAGGGTTTTTATAGTATAAAACTCCCCGGGTGGTAAGTCGGGGCTGTGAGTGATTGAACGATGTCAGACTAAACGCATGTGTCCCTCCACCCCCCCCCCCAGCTGTGCCCTCAGCAGCTGCACGAGCGCCGGCGTTTTCCAACACCAAAGCTGGGATTTGATCCGCAGCATCGCTGCGCTTCTGCATTGGAGGCCATGCCTCTGCTCCTCCACGCCACTGAATTATTCACCTCGACCGCCTCCGGTGGAGCCAGATGTGGCGGAGCTGCTGCTATTAGGCCTCCCATTACTGCTTCTTTGCCTCCATCCTCATAATTCCTCTGTGTACTCTGTGGCGTGTGCCGTCCTCGGTGGCAGTCGGAGCACCGACTCTCTGAGGCGGCTTCAAGTCAAGGCGCCGAGGAGCTATTAGCATAGCATAGAGGATTAGTAACCTCTGCTTGAACCTGCAGCCAAAGAAGAAGAAAACCCGGGGGGGGGGGTGTCTCCCATGTAAAGTATGGATCAATTATCCTAACGTGCCTCGACATCCTGTGCACGTTCCGCGCTGCGTGTCCCGTTATGTCTGCCGATGTATTCATGCAAACGGGGGCGCGAGAGGAAAAACATTTATTAAGGTATTTCTACAAATGTGGAAAACAGCATCACGTCCTTCTCCGGCTCCGTCTGCAGCTCCCCGCCGGCGGGGCTTTGCCGCGACTTACCGGGCCCATCAGACCATGTTTCGGTCTGATGGGCCTCTGTCAGGGTTCATGTGGCCGTGATCTGCACCGGGACAATTCTTTCACTCTGCAGCTGTAATCCACCCGGGACTTCTTCACTTAACTCTGCAGCTCAAAAACTCCTCAGGACAGATCACACGTTTCCAACACGCTTTTCTTCTTCTTCTATTTGACTGGAATGAGCATTCATCCGTAGGTTAAAGAGGTGCTCATATGGATCCACGATGCGTCCTTTCATCCGTCCCTCTATCACATGCATCCATCCAGTATTCACCCGTTCATTTATCAATCATTCCTTCAAAGGCCCGTTTGTTGTCCCGCCTCCTTCGCTGTCAGACGCAGCGAGCCGGGGGGCTTCTTCGCCTGCATCACGGCCCACTGAGGCACACACAGCTGGAATGAAGCCGACAGACTCCCGCGGATCCGTTTGTGGGAGATGACCCCTCCTCAGCCTGTGTCTCCCTCTGTGGCCGTCGCCTCGCATCCCGCGGGTGATCTCCCTCATCGCCTGTGACAGCCGTGTTCGCCGTGTTCAGCTTCCACTGAACACGGCGCCGCCCCGTTAATCGGACTCGGTGACGTGTCCGGGTCCCCCTGCAGGTCCGAGACAAATCCCCCCGGGGGCGTATCGGAAGGCTGAGCGAAAGGCTTTTTCTTTCTCCATCTTTGAAGGTGGCAGCTCAGGTGTCAGGTCGACCTGCTCGTCTTATCAGTAAATGCAGGCGAGTCGGCCGCTCACTCGCCGCTCGCAGCGGGTTCTCCCCTTTGTCCCTTTGGCCGAAGGTTGTTGAGGCTTCATCACATCTTTTCTTCCTTCTCTGCGATGAGAAGCTCCTCCATTTATTGTTCAATGAAAATGAGCAGTTTGAATAATTCTTAAAAGATGCAACTTAGCAATAAAGTTTGACCAGCATCAGCATCCATCTCCGTCTGCAAGGGAAACAAAACAGGATTTATATTCCATTTCAAATTGTATTCAAACTAGAAGCACAACAACCAATTTTAACTTCGTCATCAGCTGCAAAATATAAATAACCAGACGACATCCCGTTGCATTTATGTCAAAGTAACAAATGATACACAATGATATTATTTATGTGCTATTTGTGCCCCATCGGAATATTGTTAGTTTTCGTCATTTAGATGAAGATATTCAGTATTTGTTAGTGAATCAAATGCAAATAAAGACCCAGTGTTTCCTTAGTTTGCTCCTGTGAACACAAATCAATAACACAAAGTAAAGCAATAATCCTACTGTTCTAAAAACATGATCATGAGCAAATCAAAAAGCTGCTCGCCGCCGTGATGTAATCTCTGAGTTACAGCGCTCGTATCCGTGACACCGGATCAGCCGCCCCATCGGGTCAATGGCGACTTGTGACGTGCACATCGAGCGATGATAGTCGATCCACGGAGAGAAGATGTGCAGCACGAGGAGCTGCGTGGGACTCACACGGGGGGCAAAGAGAAGGTCGCCACGGGACACGCACACGGCGTTCTTCAATCATTCATCCCCCCTCCTCCCCCCCTGCATCCCATCCCCACTCTCAAGTGAGATTAATTCAATTCATCACTTGTAATGTCTGCCCCCCCCCCATGTAAACGCCCTGCATTTAAATGTTTCACTACTTTATACTTCACAGAGGGAATTATTCTTCTACTTTGAACTTTAAGTTGATTTTCACACTTTGATCTCTAGTTTTATCTCCCATCGTTATCTTTGACATGTTTATATCCTTGTAACACGTTTTGTGGACCCTCCTGTCTGCTCCTCTCTGAGATCTATGACAGTGTTTCCATGGTAACGTGACTCATCACACGGCTCGGGTGTCTGCGGTCAAGTTTCCACATAAATTGAATACAAATTTGACCTGAATTAACTTTAATAATGGAGGGAAAATAGATCACAACCCGGATTTCTGGATGGAATGCACGTATCCAAAATGTCAGCTCCAGTTTTTAATCTCCCGTAGATCAAATAAACATCAGTCAGCGTGGTTACATGATTCCAATAACTGGCTTAGTCGGACTGAAATGGAATGATCCGTGTCATGTAAACACCTTTGTCCGACTACGATCCGACTAACACGCCTGGATAACTCGGTCCGATCCAGTTGATAGTTCGACTATTGCTGCATGTAACGGTGAATCGGATGAGGAACTGGACTTTGCGTCTTTGCGCGTGCTTGAGATCCCGTCGGCGTCTTCTCTCCGTTATCAAATCAGCCAATAGCGCCATTCGCTGTGCTCCTATTAGCATCACGCACAGATAGTAGAGGTAAATAGAGTAAATTCAAAGGTTGAAAAGACATTTTAAAGGGAAAGAACCTTTGAACTGCGTCTTCAGCTCCGGCTCTGGAATCTGCTGCCGGCCTCCCGGGTCGGCCTCATTAGGAGTAATGAGATCTGACCTCGATCTGTGCGAGGGCCGATCCCTCACGGCCCCTCCAGCTGTGTGATGAGTCAGACGCAGATAAACCGCCCCCCCCCCCCCCGGCCGGGTCCAAGGTCGTTGCTCCGAAACCTCTTCTTTAGAGGGGAAGGATGAAGCGCTTTGAAACGGAGCCCAAAGTATTGATTTCCCCCGTTGACCTTCATTACGAAGGAGACCGTCCCCCTCACCCGTCTGTCTCTCTCACCTGTCCCTCCCCTCACCCGTCTGTCTCTCTCACCTGTCCCTCCCCTCACCCGTCTGTCTCTTTCCTTACCTGCCCGTCTTTCTACGTCGTATGAAGGTTAAATAACTTCCTCGGTACGTAGTTACCCGGATCGTTCACGCCCACGTTCCTTTAGCCCCGCCTCCCGGCCTCTAGGCCTCCCGGCCTCTCAGCCTCTAGGCCTCCCAGCCTCTCAGCCTCTAGGCCTCCCAGCCGCTCGGCCTCCCGGCCTCGCAGCCTCCCAGCCTCTAGGCCTCTCAGCCTCTTGGCCTCTAAGCCTCTCAGCCTCTAGGCCTCCTAGTCTCTAGGCTTCTCAGCCTCTTGGCCTCTAGGCCTCTCAGCCTCTAGGCCTCTCAGCCTCTCGGCCTCTGTCTCTTTTACAGCTGCTAGAACCTAATCATTTAAACGTGGGTTACTAACGTGTTCTTCGTACAAACGTCTCAATGTGGACGAAGCTGGACATTGAGACTTGTTGTTGGACTAAACGTTGCATCGTCTTCGTCTCCGCCACGCGACGGGGACATGCGCCGCCGTGGCGCCGGTTAGCTCTCTTCAGTGTGATGAAGTTCAGCGAAGCAGCCGCGCTCCGTTGACTTCCATTACCTGTTGGGCTTGTTGGGTTTCGCCCCGTTGTTCAACGATGCGCCGTGAATACAGATCCTCATTAACAGACACAAACAAACGGGAGAAGCTTTCGTTCCAGCGGTGAATTAAGCGGGGTTGTTTGCTTTCGGTAGAACTGTCTCGCTTTTGATCTGTTTAATATGGAGCCTGGAGTTTTCCAGCCGAAATTATTCAAAATGTTTCCTCCCAACTGTAACTTTTCTTTGAAGAAGAGTTAGAAGTGTATTTTATTCCGATTAATTCAACACCCGACTGAAAGAACAAAGGCAGTCGATTTCTAACCTGTGGTGTAAAAAAAGCCCCCAAAAAGCCCATTAAAGTACACAACGTTTTCATCATTTCCTTTTAAGTAGCGCTGAGTCGCGGCAGGTCGTTCGCGGCGGCGGCGGCGTGTAAGCGCTTTGAATGATGTTGAAGCGAAAGTGAGGTGCGACGGCTGGGACGAGGATTCGGGTGAAGTGAAGACTTCTTCCTCTCTGCAGCTGCTTCAACACGAACACAAAGACCTTTTCCTGAATACACGGCCGTCTTTTACAAAACCCAGCTGACTTGTTTCCTTTGAAGACGTCAGTTAATTCTTTAAAAGACCTTGAGCATGAAAGAGGGCGAATTGTGGGAACGTGAGGAGGAGCATGAAACCCTCACGGTGATATTTAAAATGCTGAGATATCTCAGCCAAAGAGGGAAGACAGGAGACAAATCAGACCAGTACTGCAGCAGGTGTGGATCAAAGGGGGACAGAACAGCAGGGAAAGGAGACCAGTGGACGCCATGTTGTTAAAAAGCAGTTGTCACGGTGACGTAAAGAAGCAGTAGAGAGAAAGACGGAGACGGAGGGGAATTTATTCCCCTTTTTCTGTGTAACTGATCAGTTTGTTCACGACTACCAGTCGGCATCGTATTCACGGGGCGAAGAAGCCAGACTGTGAGGGATCGGCCGAAGGAAGCTTCAGGCGGAGGGATGTGAGGAAAAGTGAAATGCTATGACAAAGTGGGCGGGATCAGGTGACAAACAGGAAGTATTTGTGACACGCAGCACTGACTCTTCATCGCTCTTCATCACAAACTTGGAAGGATGAACTAATTAGAATTTGATGGCTAAATGACGTCACCATTAGTTTCGAGCCAATCAGAGTTAAGTAACGTCCACGTTTGTTCTACCTTTGAAAGTCATTTTCATATGACTATTAGACCACGCGACAACGAAAGTAAACCCACGAGTCGGACAAGTCGCCCACCACCTTTTCATTAGTATTATTATTATGATCCCTGGCGCTGTGACGCTAACGTGGCGAGCAGCAGGATGGAGGCAGAGAGCAGGAGGGCAGCGGGACGCGCCAGACAGATCTTATGTGGTGTCCATGGTGACGGCGAGGCGATAAGGGTTTCTTTATTAGCTCAGGGAAGCGGCCGCCCCCCAAAGGCCGGATAAGGTACCGCTGGGTCCTGGAGGAGGAGGAGGAGGCGCCCGCGGCTAATGAGCGATGTTGGGTAGCGATAGCATCCAGTCTCAATCCAACGCTGCTTCGGATTGGCCTTTCAGATAATCTGGGGTCCCGAGCGCTGTGTAATTGATCGGCTCCGGGGTCCCAGAGGCCTTTGGAAATCTCCCCAAGATCTTTGCAATCCTTTAAAAAAAAAAGCAGCTATCTGGCAAGATAATCAATATCAATACAGAATAACACGTGTCTTGGCCACCGTCTCCATGGAGCCCCCCAAAGGTCTGGCAGAGTCTCAAGAAGGAGCTGTCGGGAGGACACAACCTGATTTCAAGATTTTCAATCTGTTTTATTTGACATTTGACTAATTTCAATCTGTCCCCTTTCAAATGGAGTATCAGAAATAATGTCATTCACGTATAAAGGGGCCATGCACCCGCCAAATGAGATGAGACATAAATCAGTCCCGTGTTCCTGAGTCAAGACTCACAAGGGGGAGTTTTTTCATGGAGGTCAATTCTTTTCGGTCTTCGGCATCGAACTGAGGCTATCGACCAATCACGTCGCGAGTTACTGTCCAGTCCCAAACAAAGAAAATGACACCAACACGTCCAGAAGGTTTTTCTGCTTTCAACCTTCACAAAGGCCCGAAGGTCACCGTGGGCATTTTGCTGAAAAGAGAAAACAGTTTACCTCAAACAACAGGATCCTGCTAGTTGGTCCTCTGCCTGCATTCATTTACTATTTTATTGATGACTGTATGCAACTGATAATATGAATTAGTTTTGATTCCCGAAAGTCGCGTGGCGTTTTATTGGATTTTCCTGTGGATGACTGGCCATGCGCTGGTGCTAAGGGTTGATAGTCACACAGCCGATGTCTCTGTAAAGATACACAGGAAGCGTTGTTATGCTAACGTTAGCATGACTTATGGACTCTAAACAAACACCACACACCACAAATAAAACCATGCATTACAAATGTGAGCTCAATGAACACACAAAAAATTGAAATTGCCCAAAGGAAGAAGTGATGTATTTCTGAGTATCACCAGGAGGAGGCAGAGGGAGAAGTAGAGGAGAGAGACAGATTGTGTTCATTTAAATACTACTCTTATTTGCGGGTTGAATATATGTTCAAAGGTCTAATCCACCCTCTTGTGTGGAACTAATACACCTCGACTCTGGATAGATGTCGACCGGATGTCAGCGTCTCTATCGTTCAGCAAATCACTCAGAAAGAGATTTTCTCGGTACAATGAACTCCGTGTCTGGTCTTCCAATGTGGTTCTGTTCAAATCCGTCGTGCGTTTGAAATTTCAAGCATGCTCGCTGTGATAGATGGTAGAAACCGGAGGAGCAGGGCGGTCCGTGGTAACGGATAATTAAACAGCACTTGGCTGCGTGAAAATAGCAGAAAGCGGTCTGTCCACTACGATCCAGGTGGAATTTATCCATATTGATGTTGTACTAATCGAGTATTCATTACTCATTAGAAGCAGTCAAGCTGTCAAATCAATGAGACCTTTGGTAGAGTTACGAGCCGGAGCAAACCCCTCGTCTAAAGTCGGCCGCTCCACACGGCGAGACAAATGTCTCAGCTATCAATCTGAGACTGAGGCGCCGCGGCCCGAGAGTCAATATCTTACAATGTCATTACTTAAAAGTGGCTTCTCAGCAAGGGGAGTTATTCAGTGTACGGGATGTACTCACACACCAATTTTTGTTCCGATAATCTTTTTCCCCTTAAGGTAAAGAAAATTGCCTTTTTTTTGACAAAGTTGACATTTCTGAGTTCATCTTTTTTTGTATTCCTAACAAGTCGACCACTGTAACCGTTCATTGTCTCTCTCTGTCTCCAGATGGAGGACATGCAGTGGCCTCGAGGGGAGCAGGACATTCCCAGCTCAGTGTGCAGCCTTCCCTGTAGGACCGGCGAGAGGAAGAAGGTGGTGAAAGGCATGCCGTGCTGCTGGCACTGCGAGCCCTGCGACGGCTACCAGTACCAGTACGACGAGTTCACCTGCAAGCTGTGCTCCTACAACAGGAGGCCCAACGCCAACCGCACGGCGTGCCAGCCCATCCCCATCATTAAGCTGGAGTGGCACTCGGCCTGGGCAGTGATTCCGGTCTTCCTGGCAATGCTCGGCATCATCGCCACCATCTTTGTCATGGCGACGTTCATTCGGCACAACGACACGCCGATCGTCCGAGCGTCCGGCCGCGAGCTGAGCTACGTCCTCCTGACCGGCATCTTTCTGTGCTACATCATCACGTTCCTCATGATCGCCAAGCCGGACGTCGGCGTGTGCTCGTTCAGGAGGATTTTCCTGGGTCTGGGTATGTGCATCAGCTACGCCGCCCTCCTCACCAAAACCAACCGCATCTACCGAATCTTCGAGCAGGGCAAGAAGTCGGTGACGGCGCCCCGGCTGATCAGCCCCACCTCACAGCTGGCCGTCACCTCCAGCCTCATCTCGGTCCAGCTGTTGGGGGTCTTCATCTGGTTCGTGGTGGATCCGCCCAACACCGTCATAGACTACGACGAGCAGAAGACCTTCAACCCGTACCTCGCCCGAGGGGTGTTGAAATGTGACATCACGGATCTCCAGATCATCTGCTCGTTGGGTTACAGCATCTTATTGATGGTGACGTGTACTGTTTACGCTATAAAGACCCGCGGGGTGCCGGAGAATTTTAACGAGGCCAAGCCCATCGGGTTCACCATGTACACCACCTGCATCGTGTGGTTGGCTTTTATACCCATCTTCTTTGGCACGGCGCAGTCTGCAGAAAAGGTAGGAACCAGTGGAGGGTGAACGAGCTGCATGGTTGATGGCAGGATGGTTTCAGTATTCTACTTCCAGACAACACAACTCTAGCCCCTTTCTGTTGTGTGTCTTTGTAATTGATTCACATTCTCAATACAGATAAAAAGATTCTATTTGTGAAGAGTTTAGTTTTACCTTGTTCACGCTTTACTTAGTTTATATACTTATTTTTGTCCTTAATATAACACAGTTGTTTTTTGCCTCCAACGAGTAAAGAGCCGCATTCGCTGGGTCTCCAAACGCTTTATACAGTGAAAGGCTTCATACCTGCGTATATTCTCTCATGGTGAATAAGTCGGTTAAATGTGAAACCACATTTTCAATGTGATACCTGTAAAAAAAGAAAATCTGCAGGGATGCATCAAGTCAAAATAGAAAAATAACGTTTTCTTACTTAAAGTGTTCTTACTTAATATATATATATATATATCTATATATATATATATAGATATATTAAGTATATATAATCTGACATCCCTGCTTCCCTCAGTTTAAAAACAGGAGGATCAAGCCCTCACCCCTTCACGTTGTAATTAATAATCACCAACAAGTCAAATTTTAGCAGAAATCCATGTGAGGCGGAGGATTACTGCATGGTTGATGATGGGTGACGTTCACTGTGGTGCCCGATTCCATCAGCCTGAAGGCTTCCAGACGAGCCCGATCTGCCACCACCAAACAATCTCATCCTCATCTGAGCCGAGAGCCGAAGGCTTTGTCATGAGACCCAATGATCCACACGTTGCAGTGACATGACACAGATGTGTTCTTGTGTATGAACCCAGTTGGAATGAATTGGTTGGTGAAATAATGCACATAGCGAGAGCAACGTTACTCTTATCGTCTCGTTTGTTGCGACCTCGGTCTTCTTTCCCCTCATTGGCTCCTCTGTCCCGATGAAGAACAACAGAGTGCAAACAGATGCAATCCCCACGCAAATGACCAATAAAACCCCAGATTTAATGAAAAGGCGCATTCTGCCGTATATTTTGTTCAAACACTGATTGTTTGAGCAATCACATACTAGTTTTTGTCCCCACAGATGTGTTTCACATCTGTTTGGTGTTTACGTATACTAAGAAACGTTCATCCTCTTTGTAGTTTATTTCATCAGGAAGGAAGTATAAATACTGTGCGTCATTGCATGTGTGTATTAATTACATTTGACTGATGCTTTTTTTTTTATTGCAATGTTTTCAAATATTTAGACACATTTCATATTCAAAACGCGCCACAGTTTTAAAAATGTTGCCATTTTCATTTTAATTTGAACGAAGATGTTTGATTTGTTTACAGCATTTGATGAGCTCAGGGTTTTCTTCATAGTGGACTGAAGGTTGTATATTTACTCCTCCAGGGTCTGCTGGCTTCAGGAGGCCGTTATGTGCAGTGAGGATTCGGCCAGTTTGAGACTCTGGAGGGTTGAGATAAGAGAGGGAAGGTTTGAGGTTCTCATGCTAGAGACGCTGTTGTGAGTTGTTGGAGCTGTTCATTCACCTTTTGTTCATCGCTACAAACCCTCAGAGATCAGAGCAGCTGAAACTATTTTCTTTGGCGGGTGTCTGGACTCGGCTTCAGTGTTAATGAGTTCAGACATCCAGGAGGAGCTCGTAGCATCTTGCTCGCTGAGTCCTGCTGCTCCTTCTCATTTAAAGGAATCAATGAGGTATTCAAGCTTCTGATCTGATGCCTCGGTAACGGCTCCCGTTGATGATTATTATTAAGTATAAATATCTATATTCTGAGAAACATTGAATCACTAAACACACATTGACAGTGTGAGTTAATTAATCCACCTTAAATACATATAGAAACAACTCCATCTTTACAGACTCGATGATAAATAAATAAAGAATAAATTTACAAAGCACGTGAAGGGATGATTTTCTTTTATTTGGCGTCATACACGTCTTCACTGAATGGGAGTGAAGTCTTCATACAATCAACAATATGCATCCTGTTATTGACTCCACAATGAACTGCAATAAGATGACAGGTAAATCAGTGAAAGAAGGAGCCTGTAAATGAACAGTTTATAACCCACAGACAAAAGGCCATGAATGGAAACTCAAAAGCGACCTTGACTTATCTGTTGGACTACCTACCTAAAAGATATGAGTCATAAACCTGGTAATGGACAATGATTCTAAGAGTACGCAGGACGAGGAAGAAGGTTTCGTTCAAGATGAGAGTCACACGCATTTAAGAGCACAGTGACCAACAACGCTCAACACAAAACCAGACAGACAAATACTTGATAAAGATTTAATCTGTAGATTCAAAAAACACAGAAAGACAGGATGAACATTTTAAAGAAGTCAAAAAACAATGTTTTCTGTTCAAAATAAAGAATCCTTACTGCTGTTTTATCACACTGATCTTCAGAGGTGAGATCTTCACTTTATCTCCTGTGTAAATGAATGGAAACATCCTCTCAGTGAAGGTGTGTGTGAAGGTGTGTATGTGTGTGTTAGTATCAGGATCAGAGAAACGCAGCTTCCCTCCGTTCCAGTCCAGATGCACTCTGATCCTCTGAGGCTTCTTCTGCACAGAGAGAACAGTGTCTGGAGCTGATGGTGACCGTGCATAGTATTTACCTTCATAGAACAATATTCCCAATATCCCAGACTGTAAGTATCCTTTCCTCTGGACAGACTCTGGTAACACACCCAGATACCAGCCTCTACCGTCTCCTACTTCAACATCCCAGCTGTGAGTCCCTGAGTTAAATCCCTCAGAGCCCAGAACAACACAGCTTCCATTAAACCTCTCTGGATTATCAGGAAGCTTCTGTATCTCTCCTCGTCTCCCGCTGGTCAGATCTTCAGACAGGATGAGGTCTGGATAAGCAGTGTTTGGGTCCAGAACCACAGGAGTGTAGGAGACCATCTTCTTCATCTTGCTCCAGATGTTGTAGGTCAGGTTGCCCAGGTGTTTGGCCTGGTCTATCAGAGCTCCTGATGGCAGCTGGTGGTCCTCCAGCAGGGGGCGCTGCTGGACTCTTTCCACTGCAGCCTTGTAGTGGTTCAGGAAGGAGATGTCTTCAGCTCTCAGCTGCTCCTCTGTGGCTCTGACTGTGTCTGAAAGAGCTGCTATCTCTCTGCTCAGAGCCTCCATCTTCTCCTCCATCATCTGACTCTTCTGCTCTTCTTCCTTCTTCAGAGCAGAGATCCTGGCCTCCTCTTCCTCCTTTAGAAACTGGTGAAGCTTCTTAAACTGATCCTGAATCAGCCTCTCTGTGTCTCGGGCCTGGACCTTCATGTGTGCTGCTGTTTGATCAGACGTCACTTTAACTTGTTCAAGGAGCTTTAACTTCTCCTTTAAGGCCTCCAGAGGTTCCTGAAGGTTCTTCTTGTGTTCTACAGCAGCTTCATCGATGGGTCTGAATCTGTGGTTGGTGTGTTTCTGTGAATCTCTGCAGACGACACACACTGGCTTCAGATGGTCCAGACAGAAGAGTCTGAGCTTCTCAGAGTGCAGACTGCAGAGAGTCTCTGAAGCTCTCTGGTCTCTCTTCACTGAGAAGGACTCACACAGGTTCTTTAACACCAGGTTTGAAGGTGGTTCTTCCTTTGAAGATCTTCTCCTACAAACTGGACACTCCTGAGCTTGTTTCTCTCTCCACCAGCTCTTCAGACAGACTTTACAGAAGCTGTGGCTACATGACAGAACAACAGGGTTCTTGAAGACTTCCTGACAGACCGGACAGCAGAGATCCTCTTCGGATCTGGAAGCCATTTGGTCTCAAAGCGAAGCTGAAGACACAGAAAGTAGATCAGTCACGGCTTCCCTCCCTCTTCTACTAACTTCACTGTTTCTACTCAAACTCACCTTCAGTCTGTGGAGCGTTCGGTTGTAGTTTCCCTCTTTTCTCTCCTGTAGAATCAATCAGAGGACGTCGTTGGTTTCTTCTTACGGTGAATCTGATCGTCTCTTGTCAGTCTGTGTGTCTCTCTTCAGCGAGAAGGAAAGAGAAACTGGTTGGTCTCAGGTGAGTCAGGTGAGGGGAGGAGCTTTGTCACCTGTGAGGAATGTTGTTGGTTGACAACTGTCACTGAGGTGTGTACTGATTCCATTTGGATCCACAGTTGTAGTTTCCCTCTTTTCTCTCCTGTAGAATCAATCAGAGGTCGTTGTTGGTTTCTTCTTACGGTGAATCTGATCGTCTCTCGTCAGTCTGTGTTTCTTTAGTGAGGAAGAATCACAAACTGTGTCGGGTGAGGAGTTCCTCATTCCAAAGTTACCAAACACCTACCACACCTCTAAAAGTCACTTCAACTTCAAAAGAACGTAACTTTATCAGATAAGTGTCTTAGAAATGTTTTTTTTACCAAAACTGAAAAGTTACAAAAAATCACAGAACACACACACACACACACTCAGAGCATACAGGCGGACGCACACTGAAGCGCATGACTTACACATGCAAACACACACAGTGGTACACGGCGAGGACAAAGGTGTGTGTGTGTGTGTGTGTGTGTCCTCAGATCGACAAATACTGAAGTATATTCTACAAAGAGGACTTCATTTTGCACCATTAGCTTGACTTCAGTATTTTCATCAAACAAAAACAAATAGCAGAACCTTTTTATTCAGGAAGCTTTTCCACAAACCCAAAGAAAACAGTGAGATAAATAGTTTAAAACACACATCAGGGTCCGTTTACAGCATAACGAACTCTGAGTCAGACCCTGAACTCTGAGTTGATTTTTCCTGAGAAGAAACAGGCGTCAGAAGAAGAGGCCGTTGTGCAATAATTGATCACAGTTGAAAAGCCTGTTCACTGTGTTAAGCCCCGCCCCCTGTCAGAGCGGCGTTACCATGGAGCCCAGCTGTCACTCGCACTCTGTCTGAATGCGGTGGGAGGATTCATGCAGGAGGAGGAGGAGTGTGAATTCTATGGCAGCCCCATGTTTGTGTTTGTGCCTGTTTCCTTTCCTTCCTCCCTCGCCTGTCATCACCTCCTAGTATTGACTCCTCCTCTCTCATGTCTTCTTCCCTCGTCTCCTCAGAGTATCGTCGCGTCTTTCCTTCAGTGGCCATTGCTGCTCCGCTCATCCTTCTTCTGATGAAATGTCCTAAAGGAGAGAAAAATAGCTCCTTTCCACCTCACCACTCTGGCGGTGCACGTAGCTTAGCACGTAGCTTAGCACGTGAATAGAATAGAGTCTAGTTTGTGCTGTATAGTTTGAACAGAAAGTTAATTGAAAAACCTCAACAGGTTCTTTCTTTTCAGAAGAGGTCTGATCGTATTTCTTACTATATTAAAACCAGGAAATTGTTACTGTTAATAATATTTATTAAATACACACATTTAAACTCAACTATGATTTTCTTAATTTGCACTTTATTGATTATTTCAGGGTCACCGTTCAGTTACACTGGATACTGAAAACAAACACACACACACTACACACACACTCACTACACACTACACACACACACACTCACACACACTTGTACGTGGTGCAGCTGCTGTGATCAGAGCTTGTTTTTAACATTATTAAACGTGAACACGACCTCTTGTTGTGGCCCAGCTGTGCAGCAGCAACTTACTCATCTCTGGACCCCTGAGCCGTGCACGTGCATCTGTGCACGTGCACGTGATGCTGCTGCTCAAAGTGTCCAGCAGCTTTTATTCCTTTAGATGGAACATGGAGATGAGCAGCAGGGCTGTTAAAGTGGACCAGTGAAGTAGTGAAAGTTCTCTCACGTGGTTTTGATGGAACCTCCTCCGCCTCCATCCCCTCCTCCACCTCCTCCTCCCCCACCTCCATCCCCTCCTCCTCCATCCCCTCCTCCTCCTTCATCTCACACTGTAAACTGAACATTAGAAGTTGTTCACGTTGTATTTCTACTTTGCTCCTCTTTGTGTTATTCATTTAAATCTCAATTAAAATCTAGTACCTCCCCTCGTAGTTCTGTTACGTTTCCCTGTCTTAATGCCTCCTCCTCCTCCTCCTCCTCCTCCTCCTCCTCCTCCTCCCCCTCCTCCCGCCTCCAGACCCCTCTAATCCATCTCTCTCGACTTTCTCTGACATCTTTCTTTTTTTCCATCGTGAGCAACACTCTCTTTGCCATCAATCTCCTGCTGCTGTCCGAGGCCTCTTAAGAACCCTCCTCCCCCTCCTCCCCCTCCTCCCTCCTCCCCCTCCTCCCCCTCCTTCCCCTCTCTCTCTCTGACTCCTCACGGTCTCGTTCATTCATCTTTTACATCTCTCTCACCTCAGCTGCCTTCGGACTCTCCATTCTGCTGCTGTCTCGTCCACTTAACCTTCTCCTCCCCACTCGTCTCTCTCTCCGACTCTTCCTCCTTCCCTATGTCGGCCCTGTCATCCCCCTCCTCCTCCTCCTCCTCCTCCTCCTCCTCCCTCTTTTCCTCTCGCTTTCACTCTCACCTTTTCATTCTTTCCAACTCCTTCTCTTAAGTTCCACAAACTGCTGCTGTTCCACAGCCGGTCTGCTCTCCCACCGACTCTATTCATTATTCTTATCTCCTCCTGTGTGTGTTCTTGTGCGTCAATGTGTCTGTTCTCTACTGAACTTGCGCCCTTTCGTTTTATGTTGGTGTAACAGCCACTGTTACGTAACGTGCGTGCTGAGCTCGGCGGTTTGTGGGCTCCATTTAAAGCTCTTTACGCTTTCAGCGTCTCACGTCAACAGAAACTAGTTCTGCAGCTCTTTTTATTTCCTCGTTCTTAAAGACAGCCGAGCATCTGAAGGATGTTTAATGCCTCCGCCGCCCTCGACTTGATACAGTCTTTACGTTTTATAGGAGCGGAGGAGGGTAAGAGGAGCATAACCGGCTAAATACCCAAACATTCCAAATGCAGTGAATCTAATCAAAGGAGCCGATGTGACGGGAAGCGTCCTGCAACACGTTCATCACACTCGACTGCTCACGAATCAGCCGGAGGCCACGAGGGCTGAGCGGGCTGAACGGGAGCAACCGGCTCCTCGAGTGATCTATGCACCCCAGGGACGGACGCCGCGCCCTGTGTGTACTTCAGGGACGGACGCCGCGCCCCGTGTGTACTTCAGGGACGGACGCCGCGCCCCGTGGTTACTTCAGGGAACCTGGCAGCGCCGACCGCTCGTTACCCACCGGGGACGGCGCTCACAGGCCCATCAGGGGCTCCAGGCGTCACGGCGCCAGTTGGAGGATCCTCCGCTCGGGGCCCGACAGATGGATTCCCTTTTATTTATGACCTTAAAGCTCCTGGTGTTCATCTCTTTGTGACAGAAGAGCGGAGTTCTACGGGAGAGAATCCTTCATTGGTCCCCAGCAGGGAAATGTGTTGTTGCATCAGCACAAAGAATAAATAACAATGATAATAGTAATAAAAGGAAGAAGAAGCGTTTGTTTATGAACCTTTTATGACAGAAGATGCGGCTCAAAGTGCTTCATGAGAAAAAATGATCAAATACACCGGCGATAATAAAAGACAAAGAGAAAAAGGAAAATCCCAAAATGCGGTTCAACTAATAAAAAAACACTGATAAAAATTGTTTCTTTTATTTTGTAAATCCTTCTACTAAGTTAACAAAATAAAACACAAAACATAACGTAATCAAATTAGTGGGTTGACTCATACTTTCTTTCTTTCCTCATCCTCAATAATAGATTCTGATAAATTGCACGCTTTGTATCTTTTAATCTGAATTACAATATTCCGCGAGGTCTCTGACCTGCTCATACATTTGTAGGCATGAATATTAAAAGCTTCATCTGCTGCGGAACAGGAGCGCGTATGTAGGTCAGTGAACACAGGTTCCTTCATGTCACGTTAGCACGCAGGTTCCACTGAGCTACCAACGCGTAATAGAATCCTGCTTCATGCACATCCAATATCCTAATGGTGTCTCAGGCCTTCACTCAAATCACACAGACAGTGTATTTACAGCAGCATCGGCGACATGAGATCAACAACTGCAGCACATAATCCTCATTGTTAGAAAGGGAACAGGAGAGTGGAGAAGAAACTCATATTAATGTGACACTTTAACTCCTGAGCGTGAAGAGACACGAGTATAGAACATAAGGAGGTGGAGGAAACACGAACTCACTGCCTGTACAGACAGCAGGAGGTCTTACAGCATGCATTCTCTCCAGTGACCAGCAGGGGGCGACTCCTCTGGTGCCATAGAAGTCTATGAGAAAATGACTGTACTTCTCTTACTGTAGATTGTTTGCCTCCATATGGAGCCAAATAAAGTGTTCATATTAATGCTTTCATGAAAATGACACCGTGTCCGAGGAAACAGTGACGTTCCCCCCAATAATACATGAATACATCTTATCCATGTTTGAGCTCCTATAATGACATCTGGCCCCGGGAGAATTACAGCTCTATATATTTATATCTACATTTGATCACTAGAATTATCTAATTTTAACCGCCTCTAAAATAAGACAGCAAAAGAAGGTTGTGTAGCTGCTGCTGCTGCTGACGGCTGATCTTTCCCAGCATGCAAGAGTGTCTTCTTCTCCTCCCACATCGAATGGTTTCTGTCACAGAGCGGAGTCCTAATGAGACCCCCCCCCTCACCCTCCCTCCCTAACGGTGCCCCCCACTAAGAGATACCGGGGAAGTCTAATTAACGGACTCCGTTTGCGCCCGTGTGAAGGCGTGTGATGATGCGATGAGATGTTGGAACATCTGGGACCTGATGACACCTTTCAGAGTAGTTTGACCGTGACACATACCTTATATGGTCTGTCTTCAGAATGGACAGGATGGACACATGCCTTATATGGTCTGTCTTTAGAATGGACAGGATGGACACATACCTTATATGGTCTGTCTTCAGAATGGACAGGATGGACACATACCTTATATGGTCTGTCTTCAGAATGGACAGGATGGACACATGCCTTATATGGTCTGTCTTTAGAATGGACAGGATGGACACATACCTTATATGGTCTGTCTTCAGAATGGACAGGATGGACACATGCCTTATATGGTCTGTGTTTGGAATGGACATGATGGACACATACCTTATATGGTCTGTCTTTGGAATGGACAGGATGGACACATACCTTATATGGTCTGTCTTTAGAATGGACAGGATGGACACATGCCTTATATGGTCTGTCTTTGGAAAGGACAGGATGGACACATACCTTATATGGTCTGTCTTTAGGATGGACACATACCGTATATGGTCTGTCTTCAGAATTGACAGGATGGACACATACCTTATATGGTCTGTCTTTAGAATGGACAGGATGGACACATGCCTTATATGGTCTGTCTTTGGAATGGACAGGATGGACACATACCTTATATGGTCTGTCTTTAGGATGGACACATACCTTATATGGTCTGTCTTCAGAATGGACAGGATGGACACATACCTTATATGGTCTGTCTTCAGGATGGACACATACCTTATATGGTCTGTCTTTAGAATGGACAGGATGGACACATACCTTATATGGTCTGTCTTCAGGATGGACACATACCTTATATGGTCTGTCTTCAGAATGGACAGGATGGACACATGCCTTATATGGTCTGTCTTTAGAATGGACAGGATGGACACATTCCTTATATGGTCTGTCTTTAGAATGGACAGGATGGACACATGCCTTATATGGTCTGTGTTTGGAATGGACAGGATGGACACATGCCTTATATGGTCTGTGTTTGGAATGGACAGGATGGACACATACCTTATATGGTCTGTCTTTGGAATGGACAGGATGGACACATGCCTTATATGGTCTGTGTTTGGAATGGACAGGATGGACACATACCTTATAAGGTCTGTCTTTGGAATGGACAGGATGGACACATACCTTATATGGTCTGTCTTTAGGATGGACAGGATGGACACATGCCTTATATGGTCTGTGTTTGGAATGGACAGGATGGACACATACCTTATATGGTCTGTCTTTAGAATGGACAGGATGGACACATACCTTATATGTTCTGTCTTCAGAATGGACAGGATGGACACATACCTTATATGGTCTGTCTTCAGAATGGACAGGATGGGCACATACCTTATATGGTCTGTCTTTAGAATGGACAGGATGGACACATACCTTATATGTTCTGTCTTCAGAATGGACAGGATGGACACATACCTTATATGTTCTGTCTTCAGAATGGACAGGATGGGCACAGACCCAACAGACATTTAATAAATCGGACTCGATGAAAAAACTTTTTGTTTGGTTTTTATGTGATTGGAAAGTTGCATTCAGGGACGTTTTGGCGTCATAATGAGAATATTTACTGTTTACCAGAGCAAAAACAGTGCAAAGCCACATAAGAAGAAAACCCTCATCAGGAACCTTTGCGACGCTCCACATCGTGCTACTGAGTCGTGGTTGTAAAGAGACAGTACTTCACTAAATGTATGTTTCACCAGCGGAGGTCTTTTTCAACCCTGAAATTACTTCCAAGGAAGCAGCGCGGTTTGCTTTAATGTGATGCTTTGTTTATTATGTTTTTAGATAACTGTCGGACCGCAGCGGCTCACCAGATAAATGAGCCACTTAACCTCGCCGCGGTCCGGCGCTCAGCTTCATCTGCTCGTCTCGTCGCTCCATCGCCCGATAACAAGAAAACAATCTGTTTTTTCTTTCCCTCTCGGAGGGACGTCCTGATTAAAGAGGCTGCGGTTCATCTCTTTATCTGTCCTCACGGCTCCGGTGACGCTTTCTGACAACGGCTGACATAGAAACGGAAAAAGCTAAACGCAGATATACAAATACACGATTAGTGTTGAAACAAGACGCAGGTGGACAGATGGAATCGGAGTGTTGTAGTTGTTTGGTTTTTCTTCCGTATCTGATGAGTCACTGATGGGAGAAGACTTCAGAGCTCGTGTCTAATTACAGCGTATTTGAAGCTGCAGATATAAATTGTAATCTTTAGCGATGCTGATCACTACAACTTTCAGGTAAATCTAGTGACATAAAGAGAGTGCAAAGCCCCTCAAAGTGTTTTGTAATTATTTATTTAACAAATACTTTGTCAATCTGAAATTACCTTTTGTCTGATAACATCGATCCATGCACCCGACCCACAGATGATTTTGTAGACATCCCACATTATTTGAATGTTATGTACGTACCTTAACCCCCCGAAACATAACTGAGTGGCTTTCGGTGTGTCTTTTTGAAAAGACTGGATGCAGTTAATAATCACACACATCTTAAACTAAGAACCATTGTGTTGTTTCATTTGCACGAATACGATGAATACAACAGTTTGGTGAAGCAGTTGCTATGATTGCTTCAAATCTCAGTCATTAGTGGAATGAATATATAAATGTATGTGAAGAAAATGACTCTACTTCTCTGTAGTGACCAGCAGGGGGCGACTCCTCTGCTCCCATAGACGTCTATGAGGAAATGACTCTACTTCTCTGTAGTGACCAGCAGGGGGCGACTCCTCTGCTCCCATAGACGTCTATGAGGAAATGACTCTACTTCTCTGTAGTGACCAGCAGGGGGCGACTCCTCTGCTCCCATAGACGTCTATGAGGAAATGACTCTACTTCTCTGTAGTGACCAGCAGGGGGCGACTCCTCTGCTCCCATAGACGTCTATGAGGAAATGACTCTACTTCTCTGTTGATTTATTCCCTCAGTAAACATTGTAAACATGAGTTTATGGTCTCAGTCTCTAGTTTCAAGTCTTCTTCAATACTAAATGAACACATTTAGTGACTGATGACTATAAAGCAGGGGACGCTTTAGGGCGGGGCTACACGCTGATTGACACCCCTCCCCCCCCTCTTCTCGCCCAGCTGTACATCCAGACGACCACGCTCACCATCTCCATGAACCTGAGTGCGTCCGTGGCCCTCGGGATGCTCTACATGCCCAAAGTCTACGTCATCCTCTTCCACCCGGAGCTCAACGTGCAGAAGAGGAAACGCTCCTTCAAGGCCGTCGCCACGGCCGCCACCATGTCGTCCCGCCTCTCCCACAAGGCCAGCGACCGGCCCAACGGCGAGGCCAAGACGGAGCTGTGCGAGAGCGTCGACCCCAACAGTAAGTCCACGCCTCGGCTCGGTCCCAGCCGGGACCTTGATGAGGGGAAGGCTGAATGAACGAGTCACATACGGGTTAAAGGAGCCGTAACGCCAGTGGGAATCTATTGGAACGTAACAACGCGTCATTATCTTACTCGCCCAACCGTGTGTTTATTGCACATCCTTCTGGACTGGATTTGAATGTGAAGAGTGAGGGGTGAGATTAAGTGAATTAACCTCTCTGAATACCTGGACTGAAAACACAGAAATACTTTAGAGTGAAAGTCGTTTTTCTCTGATTGACGCCCCTCTCATGTCTGCAAGTAGCAAAATATTTAAAATATTTCTGTTATATTTGGAAACAAATATAGCAACTTTTTTCTGTGAAGCTTCATTTCCTCTTGTAACAATTATGCTGAATTTAAATTAACATTAAAAGTAACAGTATCTTCGTTTGCTTTCCTGCTCTGAAGGAAATCCAAATGCAAAGAAAGGAATTCAAGGAAAAACGCTTCAATTTGTGTGTTCGAGGAATAAAAAGTGCACAAATGACAACTTTTGGGTTTCTCAGGGACGTCGACCAAAATACCACTTTTGTAGTAGTATCGTTCTAATTATCTTACGTGTTAGTTGGTTATTTCCGACTTTCAAAAGGCGGAATTCTAAATCATCACCTGTCCTCGTTTATCGGTCTATTTCATTCCGTAAGAAAGAAAGAAAAACCACGAGCAGCAAACACACGGCCCATGAGCCGTCCTGCCGGTCACACGCCGCTGCGTCAGCAGACTGCAGCTCAGTCCCCCCCCCCCCCCCTCTCAGCTGACCTCCCCCCCTCTCAGCTGATCCCCCCACAAAGGCTTCTACTGCTCGCTGCTCTTCAAAGGCCAAATCCCTCTCATTCTGCTCTCACAAGGACTCTCCGGCCTTTCTCCAAAACGCTGATTGCTGACACAACAAAGGCAAAACCTCTATAGACCCGGCTGCTCTTACAAGCCCCCCCACCCCCCTTTAACCCCCCAGCACTGAAATCCCTCCGCTGCCTTCATGGCTTTGGGGATAAGCCTTTCTAACACACAGACAGGATATGAAGTAACGTGGGGGACGTCGAGGGGCTTGTGTGGTAGAATAGATGTATTTCTTCTGAGCTTAATGGTTTTAAATGTGAACTTTATGCAGCAAATACAAAGCAAGTGGCGCAGAACTTTTCCTGCATATCACGGCTTTATGAAACATGTGATCTATCCGTGATAGAACCTGCAAGCGATCTTTAAAGGGTTTCTTTGTCTGAATCAGCGGTAAACTACAACATCTAATGACATCGTGCGTGAACAAATACAGCAGAGACGTTGTATTTATACCACATCGACGCTTCATGCACGTATTCATACCAGTATTCATAGAGTTTGTCTCGACCTCAGACAGCTGTCTACTTTTGCCCCATTTCTGATTCAACAAAGTCAGCAGTAAAAATAAGTCTGACCTCCTGAGGTCGTCGGCCTGAAGCATCGGCGCCGTGTGGAGTTTAGTTAGTTAGTCCAGTGGTTCCCAACCTAAGGGGTCGGGCCCCTCCGATGGGTCCTGTACAGGTCTGAGGGGTCGTGAGATGATCAACGGGAGGGAACCAGATCTGATCCACCTATTTTATTTTGGTGGGATTTCATTTTAAAGTAGTAAAATCTTCCTGAAGAGAAAAGACGCGTTTCACTTGTTTTGTTTTGTCTTCGGCTGCAGATTTTTTCTTTTGAGTTGTGACTCTGTGACGAATCTCCTCACTGAACAACACCGAATTGTGAGAGAAAAACCAGCTGAATCTCTGAGGCATTCGCTTCCCTTCCAGAGTCCATAACTCTTCTTTTAAACTCTGCAATCATTTAATCACTGATCACTTCACCTTCACGACACTGAACACCAGTTTGGTCTCTTCTTTCTCTTTTTTAAGGTCCGGCAGCAAAGAAGAAGTTTGTGAGCTACAACGACCTGGTGATCTAACGGCGTCCGAGCGCCGGCCTGAAACGCGAGCGACGTCGGAGGCGCCTGGTTCTCCGGCCCTGCTGAGCGAGGAACCGGAGAGCCGGAAAAGAAGAAGAAGAAGCGGCAGAGAAGAGGGTTTTTTCTCCTTGTTGTTGTTTAGTTCTATGGTCTCATGTGCTCCATCGCCCACCAGCAGACTTACGGACGCTGAAGAAAAGCCTCGCGGGACTTTTTCCTCTGGACCTTCACTCGCTCAGAGAGACGCGAGGGAGCTCGGAGGGCGAAGACGCCCCCGGAAAAAAAGACACCGCGTCGACTCTCTCTCTCTGCCCTTGATGTCAAACGGCGGCGGTCAGACCGCTTTTTACGAAGCCCCGCCTCCTCTCGTCCTTCAATGTACTTCCCACCTGCAAGTTTTCGGGACCTTCCCCGTCCTCCGTGTGTGTGTGTGTGGTTCTTCAGCGCTTAAGTGTCCCTCTGGTTGTCCCTTTTGTTGATTTCCTTCTCCTTCCCGAGGCGGCGGCGGCCGCGGCGTTGCGCAGTGTGTTTTTTGTTGAAGCCGCCTCCTTCGCTTTGACGCCGGCGTCACGCTGACGCCACAAAGACTGACGTCGACCTGCAGGCCGGCTGTGCTCTTTTGACTCCGTGATTGGTGGACGGGTCGCGTTCGGGTCGGAAGGGGGTCACGCCGTTCGCGCCGCGAGTCGCGGGGATCCGGCGTCGAGCAGTCCTGAAGGGTTGGAAAGTCGGGGCGGCTCGCGTCTGTCGCCCTCCGTCCGTTCGGCTGAATTGTTTTCCGTGTCCTCCATGATTTGTGTCTCTCTCTGCAGACTGACGTGGACCCGGCGGCGCCCAGACGCTGGGACGCCTGCATGCGCGGCTCCCGTTCAGCTCGCACATCTTTACCTCGCCCCACGGCCGCCTGCCTGAAAAGACCCGCTCGGGCCCGACTTCAGGGGTCCGGGCGAGCAATGTGGACATAAGACACAGAACCTGTGCCGTCCCCCTTAGACCCGCGCCGGGGGGGCCGACAGCTACTCGCCTCGTTTCAGGCGACGAGCTCGAGGTCGTATCTGAGTTTTCTGACGTGGTGGAGAAAAAAAAAAGAAAAAAATCCTCAGTGGACACGAAGCCGCGAAAAAATAAACGGTGGTGATTTAAAGGCGTTTTTTTGTTTGAGCGGTTTGACTTGTTTGTGTGATGAACGCGTTCCCACCACAACACGCGTGTTCCTCCTCCACCGGCACACACGCTTCCTCTGCTCTGTAGGTGTGTGATGATGCTCATGATGATGACGACGACCCTTGGCGGTGTTGTAGTCGACTTTAAGAAGAAGCCGCTGATACGACTAAAGGGTGTTGATGTGGAGGTTGTCAATGCATGCCCGATGTGTTCGATGTTGAATCCAAAAAAATGAGAAAAAAAGTTACGAAAATAACGAAATCCTCTGAAGAGTCGATTCCGCCCGTCTGCTCTGAATTGTACCGTTTCTTTATTTTCTGTTAGTTTTATTTCTTTCTCTCTTTACGTTCCTGGAAGCCATGGAAACAAGATGATTATATATTTAAAAGAGAGAAAATCCACAAAGAGGAAGCATGTATGTTTTCTACTGTTTGTACCTGTTATATTAATGTCGCCCTCGCTGCTTATGTGCCGATGTCGTGGAAGAGGTTTTACATTCGGCCGCTCATGCAACTCTCTGTGTTGTTGTCCGAGACATGAAATAAAAAGAAACATTTGCTAATTTTTTTAGATTTGTTCCCCCGAGGAAACGCAGTGTTGGTGCTCGTGTCTGACTCGCTTTAATGAGCTTGAGGAATATTTGATTCACGCATCAGAACCACGACCCCCCCCTCACCCCCCTCACCCCCCCCCCCCCTGACCCCCCCCTCACTCCCCCTGACCCCCCCTCACCCTCCTCACCCCCCCTCACTCCCCCTGACCCCCCCTTACTCCCCCTCATCCCCCCCCCTGACCCCCCCTCCGTTTCTATTTCCCCTTCTTTGCTCAAATTAAGATTAAATGCGGTTGCTTTTAAGATGGAGAGACTGTTGGGAATAAAAAATAAAATAATAATCTGCACGGGTGATTTTCATAAAATGAGCCACTGGATCTTAATTCCCGAGGAGCTTGTTTTCTTATTGATTATCAATAAAAAAAACACCGTAACGATGCTGAAGGCCACTGTGCTCTTCTACAAAGCTTCACCCTCTGCACCGAGACACAGGAGGAGATGGAGGTCTGATGGAGGAGATGGAGGTCTGAAAGGAGGTCTGATGGAGGTCTGATGGAGGAGATGGAGGTCGGACGGAGGAGATGGAGGTCTGAAGGAGGTCTGATGGAGGAGATGGAGGTCTGATGGAGGAGATGGAGGTCTGATGGAGGTCTGAAGGAAGACGCCATCTTCAGTCGAAGTCGATGACGAGCTGCAGGATAAAGCGAACGCGTCACACGGGCTTCAGTGGGAAACTGACGTGATCACAGCTTCAGCTTTACTCAACTCTCTGTGTTTCAAACCTCGCTGGACGACGTTTGGACGTCAATGTAAATCAGAGAGAAAAACTTTAAACTTTCTCTCCTTAAGTTATTAATTAAAAGTCTCCAGCAACTGGGCAGTTTTCTACGGAGCGTAGAACCAAAACACCAAAAGAAGCCGCCGTATTCACAGGAGACATCGAGAAACACGCAGTCGACTTTCTAACTGCTTCATTCCTGTGTTTACTTACGCAACAAAACCAGAACAGCTCGTGTGGATCACACGGAGACTCTGGTCTGATGGACGACATCAACCAGGCAGGTCGATTGTCCCACGGGACACAAACACCGGCCTGCTGGGGGGTCCGTGCTGCCGTGGCACATCCAGCCATTTGAGTGTCTAACACAGTGCGTCATTTATCTACTGATAAAACGAGGACTTGCTCACAGTTCTTGGTGAGAATGAGTTCTCATGCGTTAATATGACTCATTGGTTTATATTACAAATGTTGTTTACTCGTTCATTTCTTGCAAATATTATCTAATTGATGCCAGTTTGCCCTTTTCAACCATTGCAGTACTTTGAAGTGGAGAAACCTTTATTTTCTATAATTGTGCAGCAGCAGTGGCCACAAAGAGCTTTTCTCCTGCTGGGAATCGGAGGCCGAACGCGCCCGCTGGCATCTCGTCCTCCCAGTTACACTAATTGGTTCGGTGGCGACTAATCGGACTGGAAGCTGGTTATGGAGGGGGGGGGTTCACAACAACACGGCTGCTTTTATGACGCTGTAAAGCCTTAATTAATCCCCCCAATGAGCATCGTCTCTAAGATAAACGCCACTTTGTTGTTGTTTACGCACAGTCCCGTCGATTGTTGTTGTATTAAATTAATACCAAGGGACGTTTGCACTATTAACGTAGTGTGTTGGGAAGCGGTTTCAGTGAGCCGGCTCGTCTCGTTGGAGCTGCTGTGTGATTTCAATGATTTTCCAGATGAAGCTGTGATTTGGGAAAGTTTCCCAGAAAAGAGAAGCAGCAGCAGAAATGTTCTTCTTCCTTCTTCTCTCCATGCTTGTTAACTGGCATGAAGACCACCCCCCCCCCCCCCCCCCCCAGAATGGTTGTTTGGAGATCAACGGCAACGAGTACAATTTACAAACTGAAGAGTGTGACCGAATATCTGGACAAAAATAACGTAATAAAATAAAGATAACAGAATAAAAGACGCTGCTGCGTGACTGACTCTGGGACGTCTGGGCCGAGCAGACATCTGTCAAAGGGGAAGGATGCTGCCCCCTGTGGGTCCGGAGCAGAGGGGCACATTAAAGGGTTCATATCATAATAATAATGAAACTAAAAAGCATCTGAACAACCAAGTAAGGACAGAATTGAAGGAAAGAAAGAAAGAAAACAGGTGAAAGGGAATCACACGGACACATAAATATCTCGGACCAACTCTCTCTGGTTTTTTTGTACTTCAGAAGATTTTTCTTAATCTTCCCTTTTCTGACAGAAAATAAAACAGATAATGACAAATATTTCAATCTGTGAGCGTCTAATTAGCGATAAGCCGCTCCTCGTGGCAGGGCGATTAAAACGTGCGCATGGAAAGGAATGGCTTCTCTTAACGGGGCATCGAGGGCGACTGCCGAGAGGCGGAACGTCGTCACCGCGGCAGGAACGACGGAGGCCGCCGCTCAGCTGGGCGACGCCGTCTGTGGCGCTCAATCTGCAGTTTCTGGGTCCTTTTGTCTTTTCAGGGACGCTGAGAGCTTCGCTGAGACGTGTGTCCTCCAGACATCATTGCCTTGTCCTTTGTCACCACATAGAAGAGACGCTCACTGGAAATGCAGCGAGGTCAGAGAGGTCAACGTTCGTACGCCGCCAACAACTCTCCAAACAAATGAAGAAACTTCAATATTTAGAGTCATACTTGAATAGAACTGGTTGAATTATGAATAAACTGTCATCATAAATGCATGTCTTCCCTGACTTAATGTAAAATAAAAGATGCATTTGGGAATAAATTAAACAACAGAAAGCTTTCAGTTTGCTCCAATGGGGGGACGAACATGGCGTCAACGTGCTTCCTGTGGAAACATCCCGTGTAGGATCATTAAAATGACTCGGAGTGACTCGTCGTAACGTTTCCTGTTGCCCAAAACTCTAAATTATCAAATCACGGTGAGATAATTTGGTAAAAATAAGACTTTTGTTACAATATTCCCGTGTTCTCATGTAGTCGTGCTCAGTGGGAATCGGGGCCCGTCGGGTTTGATTCCTCTGGATCTGCTGTGGTTTGATTCTCTGTTCTCCTGTTGACCTCACGGCTCCTTTAATGGCTTCTTGTCCCGAGGTTCAGTCAGCGTGAGACAACGTGGGACCCCCTGCTGCTCACGAGCCGCATTGTCTCAACACAACACCATTAGTCTGGAGCCCAGCGAGGGGGGGGGGGGACACCCGCTCAGACCGGACTAATTATCTGCTGCTCCTTCGTTCACAGCCAACATCCTTGTGTGTGTGTGTGTGTTAGTGTGTGTGTGTGTGTGTGTGTGTGTGTGTGTGTGTGTGTGTGTGTGTGTGTGTCACCTGGACTCCATCAGTCCAGACTGTGCCGATAAACAAACAGAGATCCTCCTACTCGCCAATTGGTCGGAAGGCCCGTCGTTCTGAGCACGTAGCTTATTGCGCGGCGCACACGGAGGAGCTGTTAAAGCGAGACGTCTGTCTTTGTGAGACGCACAAAGCCGTACCTGATGATTGAACGTCATCGGTCCAAGTGATGAAGACGTTAACGGAGGCTGGGAAGCGGGCTCTTGTGTTCGGGATAATGGGCCTTCGGACTCGTGGCTTCTGACAACGTCTCAGTTATTGAGACGTTATCGGAGTAATGAGCTCTGTGGTTCTGCACACTGAAGCTTCAACAGCAGCGTGAAAATAATGTAGAGGACCAACGCTGTGACAGATGATATTCAACGCTAGTTTTTTATTTTACAATCGTTTTTTTGCAACTAAGTAAAACGTTCACAAACGTAACGCAGTTTATTTAAAGCCAAACAACCACATTAAGAACCCAATCAATCTTTAAATGTGAGAGTCAAACGCCGCCGACCAATCAGAGCGTCGCTCTGAGACCCCAAAATAAAAGCTGTGTTTTGAAGCTCATTCCATTTGTCCACAGACGTCCTCTCATTCCATTTGTCCACAGACGTCCTCTCATTCCCTTTGTCCACAGACGTCCTCTCATTCCCTTTGTCCACAGACGTCCTCTCATTCCATTTGTCCACAGACGTCCTCTCATTCCATTTGTCCACAGACGTCCTCTCATTCCCTTTGTCCACAGACGTCCTCTCATTCCCTTTGTCCACAGACGTCCTCTCATTCCATTTGTCCACAGACGTCCTCTCATTCCCTTTGTCCACGTCCTCTGACGCCAGCAGCCCCTCTCACCCCCTCCTCACCCCCTCTCCCTGTTGTTGCTATTAACATGAATATCGACAGATTCTCCCGGTGGTGCAGTGGCCCCCCACCTATTCTCCTCCCTCCCGGTGCCCACATCATCTGCTCTGGATTCCCGGGCTATACATCACTGTGGCGGCGCACAGAAAAGCTCTTTAAGCTGCATAAACACAATGTCGCCGGGGCACCGCCGGCTGCCGGTGATGGATGGGGGCCGCACACGGGGACGAGAGGCTGGGATTCATCCAGAAGACCGATTGACTGTCACCACTTCGCCCCCTTCGCTGGTCCGATGGAGGGAGGTGGGGAGAGGCGGCCGTTGGGTCAACAGCCGAATGCGACACTAACAAACGGGCGAGAGGGGGACGCGATGTCTCCCGCCGTTGTCCTCAACTTCAGCAACTGGGCGTTTTGCAACCAGCACACGGGGGGGGGGGGCGGAGCCAAGAGCGACCAAAGGCTCCATCAGAATGTTAGTTTACCTTCGCGAGGTGAAACTCGCGCGGCGACACGAGCCGCATGTGCACGACAACAACGGCCGCTTCCTGTGTGGGAGGCGTGTGTTTCGCTCAGAATGTCTGAAAAATGAAAACGTTTGTTTTCCCCTCGGATTGGAAAGTTGATTCCCATCCATCAAGCTTGGAGCAGCGGACGGGGCCCCTCGGGGCCTCGGGGGTCGGCGGCGGCGCTCGGTATTCCGGGTGGCGTGACAGATTTAATGGCGTGTCGCTGCCGAATGTTTCCAGAGTCAAGCGGCCGCTCAGCGCCGACACTCGTGTAAACATTCATAGGTCAGCGAGAACGTCTCTCCTCGGCTC